TTTCTTTTAACTCTGCTGGTAACAGCATAAACCACCAGGGTTGAGAACAACTGATCTAGCAAACTGGAATAGCCAAAATTGCTTAAACATGCTTTCTATCTTCAGAACTCCATCCCATGTTATGCCATAATTTACAGAGCTCTTGTTTCTCCCTCAGTTCAACCAGTACCTCTCTGATGGTAAAATGTTTTTAGAATAATTTATCTGGTTTGTTTAGCTCAGTGTTCTCAATCAGGGTGGTGATGCTCCTGATCTCCAACCACTACCCTTGACAGTGTTTGGAGACATTTTTGATTGTCACATCTAGGATGGGGTGAGACGATACTCCTGACATCCAGTGGGTAGAGATCAAGGATACTCCTAAATACCATGCAATGCCTAAGACACTCCCCATAACAAAGAACTATCCAGTTCCGAACAGCAAAAGTGCAGAGGCTAAGAAACTCTGATCTAGATTGCTTTTTGTAAATAAACATAAAACTTATGAATTTATTTGAAATGGGGTCAGTGTATAAGGAGTACTCATAAACATTCTCCTATCTGTGTGAAGTGTGTGTGAAGTGAAAGTCACTCAGTCATGTCCGACTCTTTGCAACCCCATGGACTGTAGCCCACCAGGCTCCTCTGTCCATGGGATTCTCCAAGGCAAGAATACTGGAGTGGGGAGCCGTTCCTTTCTCCAAGGGATCTTCCCAACCCAGGGATTGAACCCAGTTCTCCTGCATTAGAGGTGGATTCTATACTGTCTGAGCCACCAGGGCCCCACCTATCTGCTAAATAAGAGGATAAAACACAGGTGCTTTTGAAGGTAGTCAAAAGTACAAACTTCCAGTTATAAGATAAATAAATACTAGGTATGTAATGTACAATATGATTACTATAGTTAACAGTGCTATATAATATATATGGAAGTTGTTAAGAGAGTAAATCCTAAGAGTTCTCATCAGAACAAAATTTTTTAATATATTAATTTTTAAATTTTTATATATATTTTATATTTTTTAATATATTAATATATGCAAGGATAGATGTTAATAAAGTTATTGTGGCAATCATTTCACCATACATGTAAGTGAAGTTATTACGCTGTACACCTTAAACTTATACGGTGCTATATGTCAATTACATCTCAAAAAATTGGGACAAAGCACAGGTGTTTCAAAAAATGAACTTTTTGAACACTTCTACATAACATTGCTCAAAATGTGTCCATTAATCCAAAACACATCTTTTAGTGCAGTAAAGAGGTATATTGGGAGAGCTGTATGCGATGGCTTGAGACTCTTTCAGAGAAAGAAAACAGTATGCCTGGTACTTGCCTGTATCTGTCAAATGTTTGGGGTTGGTTAAGATTTAAGATTCAGTGTTGACAATTCCACATTTTATGTTAACCTACTAGTACTAATATATTCACTTCCAGAGTTCTAAGGTATTTAAAATCATCCTAAATTTCCCAATCAATGTAAAAAATAAAGGCACAAAGGAGTTTATTTACTCCTACATGTCATATCCCAAATTTTAGACTTGGTTTATTAATAATATTAATATTGTGGCATATATCTTATCATCCTCTCTGTGAAAATTTAATTAAAATTAAATGTAAATATTCATAACACCAACAAATACTCCACAAAGTCAGAACTGTCTTTAAATACTTTACATTAAATAAATTCAATACTCTTCTCAGCTCCCAAGGACTTTCAGGAATGTTCAGAGCTTGAGTACATCACCAATCTAATATTTTTGAATTTTTAAACCCAAATTGGTTTTTGTGACTATTTTAATGAAAATTTATGATTGTTATATAGAATAACATAACTGCCACTATCACTACACATAGAGGTGTTCCTCCTTTACTTATTCTTTTTGCAACTAGAAAATGGCTGAATTACTCCTCTGAAAATTTCCTAACTGCCTTCCCTATCACTGACAATCAAACAATTAAAACCAATGCAAGGATGTTTCATAGATACCTATGCTTCCACAAGGGTGGAAACCTAGTGTACTAATGTGTGTATGCAAAGCAAATTCCAGATTTGTAATACATTACTTTAAAATGTATTATCCCAAAGGAAAAACACTACAAAAATGAAGACACTAAAAATTATGACAATTTAATTATATGTGAATATTTGCTAGATTATAAATAAAAACTGTACACTAACTTTTATTCTCAAACCAACAAAAACAGTTACCTAAGAGAAACTCTGGAGCTTGTTCAAATTCCAATTCATCATTATTCAACATAATATTTCTAGGCAGATCAGCCAAAATCAAGTCAGGAGCAATCTGAGATATTGGAATTGTGAGCCTTGGTTGATCTGGATTTACTAGGAGGTCTCCTGAGAAGTACATAAAACATTTTTTTAAAAGATAAACCTTTAAGATTGTACATAAATTTGTCCTTTTGATTTACAGAAACAATCACATATTGTCTATGCTTTCGAATCACTCATGTTCACTTTCCAATCTTATTTTTCTTTAGAAAATTTGAGAATGTTTTAAAAGTTGAGTTACTCTCTATCTATTTGGAAGTTTAAAACCTCATTCCTAGGTTCACTCACTAGAAAGTAGAACTCAGAACTGCCTAGGCCATTGATATATGACTAGGAAATTATATATTCTTTACTTTCACAACATTCATAGAAGACATCATATGGCTGACATTACTAAGTTACTTCCATGTATCATCTATTTTAATCTTTATCACAATTGTATGGCATAGTTTTGGTTAGTAATCTCACTTCACAGATGACATAACATTGCTTGCTCAGTAGCCAGTATTCAAATTCTCACACCAACATTTTTTCTGAATCTAGAGTATAAGATCTTACTGGCAATAAATGTATTTTTCTGAACTGTTAACTATAATTGAATGTAGTATCCTCTAACTTATCCCTTATAAATATGAACAATAAACTTTTACATTTATTTCAAAACTCACTTCGCAAATATTGAAAGTATCACTTAAAAACATTTGTAAGTTGTGTCAACACATACATACCTTCTTCTGCTTTCTTCATCAAGTTGTCAAGCAATATTTTTTGATGCTCTTCACCGTCATTAAAACTATATAATGCCCATTTCTTCAGCAGAGTTTCTCCTTCACCACAAATATCAATCTCCAATAATCCAGGAAACCACTCTTCCATGAGAGAATCAATGTGGTCCACAACTTGGCCCAAAAGAACACAGCCTGTGTAATCCAAAGAAAGCGTGATTAACATCCTAGCTGAACCTTATCCTGTCACAAACTGAAAAGAACTATAGAGACTTTTTAAAAAGTTTAGATTTCTTTAGTGGTACAATTCAGTTTTGAATTAATTTCCTTACCTTTTCTACAAGAAGGAACTGTAATTTTTAAGAAACTCTCTGCATGATGATCTAAAACTTCAGATCCTACTAAGCAGTAAGCTTCAGGAGACCAATTCAAGTAGATGCCTTGTCGCCAATACATTCTGTTTGGACGAAGTGCTCGTTCTGAAAGAAGTTTAAATGAACCCAAATATAGCTACTAATTATTTGTTGTTCCATAAACTGTAGGGGAAAAAAATCACTGCACATACTACAAGTGACAGTAATAGAGGTGTATTTGTTTTGAAGGAAAGTACTGGAATTGTTAATGATATGTTATCTATTAAATATAATATTAAATATTTTATCCTCAATTTTGAAATGAAGCAAACAAATGCCCAGTAGATTACCTAATCCAGATTTCAGGTTCATGGTGTCAAGCAGTTTAACGTATGTAATAGATGAAAAAGAGAATCATAAACAGCTCCCCATAACTTTTAAAAAGAGGCTGGTGGTAACGCTAAAGCCAGCACTGTGATGTGCTGCAACTATCTATATGTTGATCAACTGCAAGCAAGGTTTATTTCAAAATACAGTACCATCTCCATAACGCTGATTTTAAGCACGAAACAGAAAAATTTTATTTTCCCCCTTGGAGCACTAAGATCTCTCTTTCTTCCAGGAGGAAGAGCTAGCATTGTAATTTATAATTGTAGCATGATAAAGTCTTTATTCTTTTTTGCAAACCCCTCAGGGACCATGCAGCAGAATAGAGCTATTATAGTCCCCACAGAGAATGGTCTGAATGGTTAGAACCTGTTACTCTATTAAACAAAACTCCCTGACTGAAGTGGTGGTCATTTCTAGTTTTTCTTTCTCCACGCATAAATGTGTATTTGTGTGTATGTGTAGGGAGATAGGTGTTTTTAAACCAATGACTCTATAATTTCATCTTTTAAAATTGCTGCTTCTAGTCTGCTTTGACTTGCAAAGCAAGATATTCATACACATTGTAAATGTGTCTAAAATAAATACATGTGGGTTTAAGGAACTTTATTCTTAACAAATTTCATGAATTTATCTGTGTATATTTTTGTATTGGCCATGCTGAGGTCTTTTGAGCTTATTTCCTGATTTTTAGCTGCATTACAAACCAGTAAACTCTAGGAAAATGACTTTAATTTTAATATGCTTTCCACCTAACTTCTCCAAATATTAATTCTTCAGTAAATACATACCTCTTCCTGAAAGCATGTAAGGTGAAATTTCAAGCAACCGATTGATTAATCTCGACCAAAAGCCCATTGGAAAATAAGGCATTTCATACAGTCGAATGATAATTTCAGAGTTCTCACAATGGGGAAGCTCTATTACAGGCCTGTGGTCAGACAAACTAAAGATAAAAGCACACTATCATTATATAGCTTCAGAAAACGCCCAACCATGTTGACCAGAGTGCTTTACTACTTGAAATCAATGAACTGATGATAATAAATATTCTAAGCAATTTTATTTTTTAGTAATGTTATTTTGCTACATACTCTTCCTACTTCAAAATTTAATGGTTAATCAATTCAAATCATGCTCAGATAAAGTGATGTATAAAAATTTTTCAGTAATCCTATTTACATTATAAATAAATTATTATAGTTAGTTATGTATAACAAGTAAAGGGATTATATAAAACTTCAAAAAATGTATGTCCTAGAATCAAGTGTATATCTGTGTTTAGAATTAGTTACCATCCATCAATCAGTGCAATTTGCAATTTCCAATGTCATTTACTTTATAACATTTCCCAGGTTTTATAAGGCAGTAAGAAAAATTTCTACAACACGGGCCTAGAATTTAGGCCTCCACTGTGTTGGCCATATCCTCTGAAAATTCACAGTCATAAATTATTTAAAGACTCTGTTAAAAACTTACCATTTCTCCAGAATCTGCCTAATAACTCCTTCAATATTATATAAGGAACATACATACACACACAGCAACACAAACACACACACTCTAATCTCCACTATTAACCTTTCTTAAATAAACTGAGCATTTTCAAATCAAATAATAGTTATATATATATATATATATATATATATATATAATCAGTCATTTACATCTTTAAAATGTCAAATGTAGTTTTCATCAAAAGAAACTGTTATACTTCAGTACAAAGTTTACACAAGAAGTAAAAAATTAGTACATTCATCATAGACCAAAGTTACTTTCACAACTAAAAGAATATATGGTAAATTTCCATAGGGTAATTAAATTTTTAAGTTTTGGCTTACCTGCTTGGAACCAGTAAATATTCTTCTCCAATTGGCAAGGCGATCTGGAATTTTTCTAGGAGTTTAAAGTACTGTGCCATGTAGTTCTTTGGAAATCTCTTTTTCTTTGAAAGAAATTTTTCCACATCTCTACGTGAAATAATTCCCTTAGGATGTTTTGGAAAGCCTTCCACTTTCACTGTCAAAATCTGAAAGGTTTAAACTTATACATAATCATAGAATTCATTTTCTGGGAAGTTCTGAATTTAAAGAATTTCCTTTGCTCAGTAAAAATGATCAAAACAATTCTAATGTTATCAAGTAAAACACAGGACCTAATTTCTCTACCTAGCAGCCATGTAAGCCTAGCATCTTTCACACACACACATACACACAGAAACTATTAAAATAAGTGAGTGAATCCAGATCAGAAACTACGGACATCCTCTGATACCAATGACCACAAGACTTCCCCAGTTCAATTAATACATCAGTCCTTAATTAATACATTACTCCACATCCTTGTTACAGTCTCATCAATAATATATTCCTGAGGAAATTATCTTCCAGACTGTTATCACTACAGATTTGCAACAGAAATGTTACTTTACATTTATACAATCGGATGTGGGTTTCCATCAGTGGAAAGAGAGGCAGCTTAGCAAATTAAGTGATTCTCAAACAAAGTAGTCACTGAATTTCAGTGGACTCCATGCAGTCTGAGTTACAGGTCTGGGATAAGGCTTGAGAATCTGCTTTTTTAACAAGAAACTCTGAAGATTCTAATGTGGAGACCATAACTTGAGCTTTGATCATCATCACAGCAATTAAAAATATGAGTTGAGAAGAATTCAGGTTCAAATCCAAACTCTACTGCCAGTTGTATGACCTTGAGAAAGGTATTTAATCTCTTTACCCACAGTTTACTTCTTTGTAAAATGAGAAATAAAAGTGACTGTCTCTTAGATTGCCACGAGAACAAAATAACATACATAAAACACATAAAATACATATCACTCTTTTTAGCAAATAGGAAGCCCTCACATTTTACCAATCCTGTTTACATATTCCTATTTATTTTACTTGGATAAACAAATTTTAAAAAGAGATTTGTGCTTACTTGTCTTTAGTAGATCTATAATATTTAAGGGATACTTAAATAGAAACAAACACTATTTGTATTATTATCATCGTGTGGTTGGGTAAAATACTGAATTGTAAAATGCTCAGGTCTGAGGACTTGTCTTACTCAACTCTGTTTCTAATTTGTACATATAATGCTATTGAATCTGTGAATAAATCATTGACTATATGGTATTTAATGCAATGTATAATGGGTCATTAAATAATTAAAACTATAATTTGGGACTTCTCCCATATTCTGTACTCTATAGCCCAAACTGCTCTTAAAGCTTAGGTAGTGAAGGAAACTGCTGTTTTATGGTTTCTAAAGATGCTAAGTGTCTGCTGGCCTGAGTCCTTTTGAAGGAGGTTGCCATTACAACCATTATCCCTACCACAGTTTGGCCTCAGGCCAAACTACAGGGAGGGAACACAGCCCCACCCATCAGCAGAAAATTGTTTCAGATTTACCGAGCATGGCCTTGCCCAACAAAAGAAGACCCAGTTTTCCCCACAGCCAGTTCCTCTCATCGGGAAGGTTGCACAACCTTCTTATCCTCATCCATCAGAGGGCAGACAGAATGAAAACCACAATCACAGGAAACTAACCAAAGTGACCACATGGACCACAATCTTTCCTAACTCAGTGAAACAATGAGCCATGCTATGTAGGGAGCCCCAAGACGGAAGGGTCATGGTGGAGAGTTCTGACAAAACATTCACTGGAGAAGGGAATGGCAAATCACTTCACCATTTTTGCCCTGAGACTCCCACTAACAGTATCAAAAGGCAAAAAGATATGACACTGACTGTGAATATTCCAGGTAGGTAGGTGTCCAATATGCTACTGGAGAAGACCAGAGAAAGAGCACCAGAGGGCTTGAAGAGTCTGAGCCCACAGTGAATGAGTCTGGTGGTGAAAGTAAACCCTGATGCTGTAAAGAACAATGCTGCACAGGAACCTGGAATGTGAGGTCCATAAATCAAGGTAAATTGGAAGTGGTCAAACAAGAGATGGCAAGAGTGAACATCAACATATTAGGAATCAGTGAACTGAAATGGACTGGAATGGGCAGATTTAATTCAGATGACCATCATATCTACTACTGTGGGCAAGAATCCTTTAGAAGAAATGGAGTAACCCTCAACAAAAGAGTCCAAAATGTTGTACTTCAGTGTAATCTTAAAAACAACAGAATGATCTTTCTTTGTTTCCAAGGCAAATCATTCAACATCATAGTAATCCAAGTCTATGACCCAACAACTAATGCCAAAAAGCTGAAGTTGAATGGTTCTGTGAAGACATTCAAGGCCTTCTAGAACTAACACCAAAAAATATGTCCTTTTCATTATAGGGTATTGGAATGCAAAAGTAGGAAGTCAAGAAATATCTGGAGTAACAGGCAAATTTGGCCTTGGAGTACAAAATGAAGCAGGGCAAAGGCTAACAGAGTTTTGCCAAGAGAACGCACTGATCAGAGCAAACACTCTCTTCCAACAACACAAGAGATGACTCTACACATGGACAACACCAGATGGTCAATACTGAAATCAGATTGATTATGTTCTTTGCAGCTGAAGATGAAAAAGTTCTATACAGTCTACAAAAACAAGACCAGGAGCTAACTGTCGCTCAGATCAAGAACTCCTAATGGCAAAATTCAGACTTAAATTGAAAGTAGGAGAAACCGCAAGGCTATTTGGGTATGACCTAAATCAAATCCCTTATGATTATACAGTGGAAGTGACAGACAGATTCAAGGGATTAGATCTGATAAACAGAGTGCCTGAAGAACTATGGACTGAGGTTTGTAACATTGTAGAAGGCAGTGATGAAAATCATCCCCAAGAAAAACAAATGCAAAAAGGCAAAACAGTTATCTGTGGAGGAATTACAAAGAGCTGAGAAAAGAAGAGAAGCAAAAGGCAAAGGAGAAAAGGAAAGATATACTCTGAATGCAGAATTCCAAAAGATAGCAAGGAGAAATAAGAACGTTTTCCTAAGTGATCAATGCAAAGGAATAGAAGAAAACAACAGAATGGGAAAGACTAGATCTCTTCAAGAAAAATAGAGATGCCAAGGGAACACTTCATGCAAAGATGGGCACAATAAAGGACAGAAATGTTATGGACCAAACAGAAACGGAAGTTGTTAAGAAAAGGTTGAAAGAATACACAGAAGAACTAAACAAAAAAGATCTTAATGACCAGATAATCACAATGGTGTGATCACTCACCTAGAGCCAGACATCCTGGAGTGCAAAGTCAAGTGCCCCTTAGGAAGGACCACCATGAACAAAGCTAGTGGAGGTGATGGAAGTCCAGCTGAGCTATTTCAAATCCTAAAAGATGATGCTGTGAAAGTGCTGCACTTAGTATGCCAGCCAATTTGGAAAAATCAGCAGTGGCCACAGGACTGAAAAGTTGTATTCATTGCAATCCCAAAGATAGGCAATGCCAAAGAATGTTCCAACTATCACATAATTACACTCATTTCACACATGAGCAAAGTAATGCTCAAAATTCTTCAAGCTAGGCTTCAATAGCACATATACTGAGAACTTCCAGATGTTCAAGCTGAATTTAGAAAAGACAGAGGAACCAGAGATCAAATGCCCAACATCCCCTGGATCATAGAAAAGGCAAGAAAATTCCAGAAGAACATCTACTTTTGTTTCATTGACTATGCTAAAGTCTTTTAGACAAAGGACAAGACTGTGTGGATCACAACAAACTGAAAAATTCTTCAAGATATGGGAATACTGGACCACTTTACCTGCTTCCTGAGAAACCTGTATGCAGGTCAAGAAGCAACATGGAACAAACCACTGGTTCCAAATTGGGAAAGGAGTACATCAAGGCTGTATATTGTCACCCTATTAGTTAACTTATATGTAGAATACATAATGACAAATGCTGAGCTGGATGAAGCACAAGCTGGAATCAAAATTGCCGGGAGAAATATCAGTAACCTCAGATATGCAGATGACACCAACCTTATGGCAGAAAATGAAGAACTAAGAGCCTCCTGATGAAGTTGACAGACGAGAGTGAAAACAGTGGCTTAAAACTCACATTCAAAAAATTAAGATCATGGCATCCAGTCCCATCACTTCATGGCAAATAGATGGGGAAACAGTGGAAACAGTGGCTGACTTTATTTTTCTGGGCTCCAAAATCACTGCAGATGGTGACTGCAGCCATGAAATTAAAAGACGCTTACTCCTTGGAAGGAAAGTTATGACCAACCTAGACAGCATATTAAAAAGCAGAGACATTACTTTGCCAACAAAGGTCCATCTAGTCAAGGCTATGGTTTTTCCAGTGGTCATGTATGGATGTGAGAGTTGGACTGTGAAGAAAGCTGAGCGCCGAAAAATTGATGCTTTTGAACTGTGGTGTTGGAGAAGACTCTTGAGAGTCCCTTGGACTGCAAGGAGATCCAACCAGTCCATCCTAAAGGAGATCAGTTCTGGGTGTTCACTGGAAGGACTGATGCTGAAGCTGAAACTCCAGTACTTTGGCCACCTCATGCGAAGAGTGGAAAAGACCCTGATGCTGGAAGGGATTGGGGGCAGGAGGAGAAGGGGACGACAGAGGATGAGATGGCTGGATGGCATCACTGACTCTATGGGCATGAGTTTGAGTAAACTCCAGGAGTTTGTGACGTACAGGGAGGCCTGGCGTGCTGCGATTCATAGGGTTGCAAAGAGTCAGACACGACCGAGTTACTGAACTGAACTGAACTGATACCACCCAACACATTAAGTATTCTTGTTTTGGTTGTTTCCTTCCATTTGAACATCAACTACATGAATGTAGAAATCTTATTTTCCCTACTGCTATATAGCCCCAGTACCAGAACAATATCTGGAACATCATTAGGTTCATAATATATGTTGTTGAATGTGTGAATTTTGGGAAAATAAAGTTTTGAGCATTTTATCATAGTGTTAGGCTCTCAGGCATTAGAGTCAAACCACTTGGTTTAAAATCCCAACTCTAATTCTCCCTAAATATGAATAATATTACATTTATCAGTATGCAGTTTGATAAATTATTTAACCTCTCTATCAACTTCTTCATCTTCAAGATGGGCACTCAAATAGTGCCATTTAAAAAAGTTGTTCCAAGAATTAAATGAGATAATCTTTGAAAAGCATATAAGTAACCTTTCATATGTCAGCCATTATTACATACTTTTTCTATTTTACTTAAGACAAACTGATTTTAAAATAGAAGTGCTTGATTTTTTTAGAGCTGTAGTGCACTACCACTATTTGGAAAAGACCCTGGTGCTGGGAAAGATTGAAGGCAAAAGGAGAAGTGGGTGGCAGAGGATGAGATGGTTAGAGAGCATCACCAACTCAATGGATATGAATTTTAGCAACCTCTGTGAGATAGTGGAAGACAGAGAAGCCTGGTGTGCTTCTGTCCATGTGATTGCAAAGGAGTCTAACATGACTTAGCAACTGAACAATAATCACTACTTGTAGCAGATAGTTTCCAAAGACAGACACATTAATTTTTTTCTCTCCCTACGTATGTAGGTTGCTTAATCCTTCAAGATATAAATTCCATACATTTTCTCTTAAATCTGAACAAGGCTTGTGGTTGCTCTGGTTACCAGAACATGGCAAAGCTAACATTTTACCAGTTCTGTGCTTGGCCTTTAAGAGGTCTACATATGTATGAGGGGTCACATGGAAGAGAACCAACAAACCAAAAATACGAATATACCCTTCCTGGAATGAGGAAGTCAAGCGAATGACCCCTGCCAATGCCATGTGGAGCAGACCCACTTGACTGAAAACAGTAAACCCACACAATAGTGAGAAACAATAAACTGTTGATGTTTTTCTCCAGTGAACTGTTGACGTTTTTCTCCAAATTTACTTCTGTACTCTAGGTTTGTGGGTATTCTGTTACATACCAATGAAAAAACTTAAACCTTTTCATAAATCTATCACCTTTAAAATACCTCCTATTATTCCTGTAGCTTGGCTATTTCTAAGACTAACTTATGCTCATATGTAAGGAAAGAGACTCTTCCAAATTCCTCATACATTTTATCAAGACTAAATCACCATGCAAGCTTTATAATAGTCAACACAATTGATCCAGTGAGTCCCTTTCATATTTCTTTTATCATATAGTTAGTTGAGTTTTGCAAACTTCTTTGTGTGTTGATGAAAACTTCTTTAATAAGTTTAGTGACCTAAAAGCTCAGGGCACAGAGAGGGTGGATGGACTCATTAGAGCTTCTGCACCATAAATTATTTCTGCCCTTGCCTTGATGATTCATGGAGGTGAATACCCCTATTTATTTTTACTGATTTAGTGTCAGGCAAGTCATTCTTGTTTTCACTTGGTTACTTATAGCCTTCATTCTCTTTAAACTTTAGTAAAATAACATATTTGAACATATCAGCATAAATAAAAACGATGGCATTTTTTACGTTAATAAGAAATTTAAATCATCATTTTACTGACCCTTTAGATCCATCTTTCAAAATAACTTGAGCTGTTCAAATTCCTAACTTAATTTTCAATTAAATTAACATGCTTATAGTATAACTAATAGTATAACTATGCTAATGAGAAGAACTTTCAGGGAGTTTCCACTTAATTACTCCATAGTATCTTCAGGGATTTTATTTAGTCATGGTGTAAATTTGATTTTGTTAAAAGATAGTGATTTAGATTTAAACCAATTCGTTATTGTATTGAATATGATGTATCCACCCTAATATCCACATGTTTGCAACTTTAAATATTTCCAATTCATAAGGAAACACATGCACTCTTTGGTGCAACTTTAGCCTTTGCTTGACTGTACAGAGCTTAGTTATTTTCTGATAGAATGTGCCACCTAGGGTAACAACTCTTCAGGGTATAATTAAAACCCCCTTTCCTACACAGAATGCATATACCTACCCTATATTTCTTCTTATTTAGTTCCATACCTGGCACATTTTTCAAAAATACATGAATACATCTTTATAATTTTGATTATTTTTTTTTATTTTCTGAAATAAGTATTTAATTACCAAATGGGTTCAATATAAACTTTCACTAAAATGTATTGCTCATTTTTACCAAACTACAAAAGCAATGTAGAAGATAATATTGTTATTATTGCTATTTTATCAGGGAAGAAACAAAGGCTGAAAACATCAAGAAATGTCAAAGTTGATAAGTAGGAGAGATTTGAACACAGGTTGTACTGACTCTAAAGTTTAGCTTGACCACTATACTTTGCTGGCTCCATTCTCCTTGAGTAGACGAGTAATATCACACTTTCCATGGCTTATTGCATTAGGGTGAAAATCTCATTTAAAAATATCTACCAGAATAGTAGTAACTGTCCAATTACAATTAATTGCCAACTGTAATGTTTCAATATGTTCTTTACAGAGAGGATTATGGTAGCCAATTAATATAAACTCATTGGCAACTGATTATTATTGATAGAAGAAATCATTTTCCATATGAAATATAAAGACAGCCATAACTACCACTTTTCAAAATGGTAAGCATTTAAGAGTTTTATATTATATTGAAAAGTTACAATCCCCTTCCTTGTTGTCTACACAGAGGTTTCACAACCTCATCAATCCAACTATGTCTGCCAGGCTCCTCTGTCCATGGAATTCTCCAAGCAAGAATACTGGAGTGGGTAGCCATTCCCTTCTCCAGGCCAATCTTCCTCACCCAGGGATCAAACCTGAGTCTCCTGCATTGCAGGCAGATTCTTTACCATCTGAGCTACCAGGGAAGCCCAGAGTTTTATATTCCACTGAAGAGTCAAAATTTCCCTCCATGTTTTTTAGACAGAGGTTTCACAAGCTCATCAACCCAATTTTCTTATACTTATTTACTCCACAGATTTTCACAAAGCTTTCATTCAATTGATTATATCAGTAAACATGCCAAACAACTGTGAATATAGAAAATGGTAGAACAATTTGTGTAGAAGACTGCATAAAGAAAAACTTCTTGGCTATAGAAAGGTACTATGGAACAGAGTGACACAAATACCTGTCTATGACTTGAAAACAAAGACATTAAAACCTAAGATATCTTCTCCTCCTCCACGAAGTTCTTCTTTATGCAGTCTCCAAACAAACTGTCCTACCATTTTCTATATTCACAGGAGTTTCTACCTTCATTCAGTTCAGTCACTCAGTTGTGTCCAGCTCTTTGCGACCCCATGAACTACAGCACACCAGGCCTCCCTGTCCCTCACCAGCTCCCAGAGTTTACTCAAACTCATGTCCATTGAGTCAGTGATGCCATCCAACCATCTCATCCTCTGTCGTCCCCTTCTCCTCCTGCCTCCAATCCTTCCCAGCATCAGGGTCTTTACCAATGAGTTAGTTCTTCGCATCAGGTGGCCAAAGTATTGGAGTTTCTACCTGAACTAAACACACACTCTATAAAGCTCGGTGCTCTAGGTGTCACCTGAAGTTCGTTACCCCCACGCCTCAGAAGTACAACACACCAACCTGTGCCATGACTTTACAAAGCCACTTGGGTTCCACAAAATATAAGTCACTTAACTGCAGTGCTGGGTCTTGAAAATGAAGAAGGACCCCTGTAGGAAAAATCAAAAGTGAAACATGGAATTTAGAATATGAAAATAGCAAGGGGCTTCAGAGAGAATCTAGCCCAATCTCCTCATTTTACAGATTAAGAAACTTCAGCATCGCTGGGGTCAGAACTGAGACCAGAACCAGGGCATCCTAGCTTTCATCTCAGGCAACCATTGATTCTCCAAGTGCCAAGTTAAACCATCACAATAATAATTCTCCTGCGAGTGTACAAATAATGTCCCCATACACTGCATTCATTTGATACTATGAAGGATATAGCTTGAACTTAGGGTCTCACAGCTCCTAAATACTACAGTCAAGCTCTAAAATCCACATGTTTTAACTCTGGCTGAGAGACTTTTTCCACTACTGTCCTTAGATAATTTCTAAATTTTTCTCTTATGACATAATATATGATTCAACATCAGTACACATGATGATCTTTCAAAAAGAAAAAAAAAATCAGCTACCTATTAAAGAATTTTGTCAGTATTCTTTTAAATGTAAATTCTATACAAGGGTCAGATACATTTTCACCAACTCTACTGCAGAGCTTTGAAAAAATATGTAATAAACAAACCTGATTCATTTAGAAAGTGAACTGCATGAGGAAGCTCATTTTCATCTAACTGCAGCTGATGTTCTCTCACAAGTTGTAATAATCGTTTCCGGTCAATTACAGGAAATTCAATTGGCACATTTTTACGCTCTGATAAAATGATTTTCTCAAGTTCTACATAGCAGTCTGGAATCAGCTGCCCAACAACAGGCTGATCTCGGATCTATGAAATTACAGATGACAAGCTGTAAAAATCCATTTTATACATCTATATGTCAGTTGGTTGGTAAATTCTGGCTGATCATTCAGAAAATGATTATTTTTAATAAAATCAAGATGCAATGTAAAACCAATTAAATTGTGAGAAATAAATAAGATGATCTTAAAATAAGAAAAATAAAAATGAACACAGAAGCCAATTTGGAAAGAACTATCAAATAACATTGTATGGAAACAATTATCAAGGTATTCAGAAAATCCATGGCAAAATCCAAGACAAATCATTAACCTTAAATAAAGGACCTACTATTTCCTAAGACATTAAATCTACAGGCAATAGATATGCTAACATAAAAGTCAGGATTGTAAGAGCTTTTGGACTTTATTTTTTAGATGAAAATATCCACATCCAAAGTAAAACTAAATTTTGTTTTTGCTATTCACAAAATGTAATATTAGTGTGATGTACATATCAACAGTGAAGTGTGGAGACAGACATGAAATTTCCTTACCAAGCTATGCTTTTTCATGGAGACCTGAACTTGGAAAAATAAAAAATCATCTAAACCCCAATGATTCTATATGAGAGGATAATTTGGGGTCTCTTACACTTAGAATCTAATTAAAATCAAAAGTTTAATAGAATGACCTTATGATGAGAGTTTCTGTAATAAAAATATTTCCAAACATTTTTTTCTTCTTAAAAATCTAATTTTAAATAGAAACACAACTTTAATAATAGTAAATGTCTTTGCAAACCACCAGGTGGCAAACTCTCCTCATTTCTCAACCCATGAATATATTCTTGACAATAAAGAATAAAATTTCTACCTGAATTCTTCAACTTATTACAAATAGAAATTGGGTTTATTACACCTGCACACACACACACACACACACACACACACACACATAAACTTTATACTTGTTCTTTATTTACTCTTAACCTGATCCTTCAGGAAGCTGATTTATAGCAGCCATAACCATTACTTACATATTTACCTCCAAACAGTTGAGATTGTTTTGAGGTACCCCTTGAACCAGAAAATTAAATATAATTTCACTAACTTCCACTTTTCACATTCCCTCTCTTTATCATTTATAAATTAAGATAAAGCAGAACTTCAGATTGAAGTCTGTGTTTAAGCCAAGAAGGGAAACCTACATATAAAAGTAAACAAGAGTTCACACAGCAGTGAAGTAACAGAGGGATGGACCTTACAGGGCTGGATTACAGGCTGAGCAAAGGTCCCACTCTGCTAAGGGGCTGGACAAGACGGAGAGGGACATTGTTGGCACTGATTTCTATTCCGTCCTACTTCCTTTAACCTTCATCATCAGGTCACCAACAGGCAAAAACAGAAAGCTTTTATTCTAAACTCTGCATGGACAGATGTTAACAAGAGTGAGACACACAAAGATTAGAAAAGATCATGATAAAAGGAAAAGACGAAAAACAAATGAAAGGCCAAACAAAAAAAGATTTCTAATAGATTAAAAGTTGCTGACTGAATACAAGTTAGGGCACCTCAGGGAGGAAAGAATATTCAAGTTCTGGCAGGCTTCTGTTTTGGGGTCATCTGAATCACTATTCTGCAAAGCAGCCAATTGAATATTCAAACCAACATAACAGAATGATGCATCCATTTGCAACATATACCTTCCTTCAAATAATACTGCCATTTCTCAAAGCATTTGTTTTTAACCTCCTCATCCGGCATTGCCTTCAGAGTTCATGTACAAGTGCAGAAAGCAGACTGATCTTATTGCCAGTAAACTGGTCTAACTTGCTATCAGCCTAAAGTAGTACCAGTCCAGTTTGATGAATCAACTACTTTATTCACAGACTTCTTTAACTAAATTCAAATTTTCTCAAAACAAACTCATACTTTAAGAATTCTTTTTTAAAATATGATAAATGGTCTGATATCAATGATAAAAGAGAAGCTATTAAAATATTGTAACAGCAAAGTTCTGTAAATATAGATATAGTCTCAAAAGGAAACTCCCTGGGTAAAGACAATATTTAATTGAATATATTAATTTGGCACATTTGTTTCTTAAAAGTCATGTCACTCTTTAATCATATGTCTCACAAAAGAGTAGCAAAAACTAGAGATAAATGATATTTTATTCTTCTAATGTAAAACCCCATTGACCCACATTTGTAAAGGCTTTTATTGATTGTGATAAATGTGTGGAAAGATATAAATGTGCAAATTCTCTCTCTGGGCACCACAAAGACTGGCACATTTATAAATGGCTCATTAAGTTTTGGACAGAGCATAATCTGTGGAAATGGAACAGAACTAAGCTAACTGGACAATGTGTTATAACCAAGGTGACTGTATAATTTATCATCCAAACTGGAATGCTTCTGAGAATGCTTCTGAGAATGTAATTAATAATTACACTGGGACTGTCCAGGCAAAACAAGACCCTTGTTATAAGCCACAGCTTTGATCATTAGTACTAATGAGCTAAACCAGTAGAGACTAACAGTGAAATCCACTACTGTGCTTGTCATATTGAACTATTTTAAGTGTTTTTCAGTACAGTTTACACCTTGCTATCTGTAGAGCCCAGGTAAAATTTCTTTCTCTTTCAAGTATTAAAAACAAGCATTTGTTAACCAATTTATTTGTGTTTTATGAACACTATGAACTATATTTGTCTTATCAGAAAGAAAAACTTTGTAAATCAAAAACATAATTCTTAAAGTTTGTATGAACTAGAATATTGCTTATACATTGTTGAAAACCAAATTAGCGACCATGGTGACCAGATGAAAGAGACTTCTCTCAATATTGAAGAAAAAGAAATATTTGAAAGGAGGATCACAGTGACAAAGATGTGAAGGAACAACAAAGACCAAGATGAACATAAAACAGAAACTCCAAAAGAAAGGAGCAGATGGAGAAAAAACAGTCAAAGAAAAATACAAGAAAGATAACTACAAGATCCCAACATCCATCTTTATCCTCTTGATTGAATCACTACTATAGGATATTGGGAGAGAAAGGGCATCAGAAACATGTCCCCAGATTCTCTCAGGAACGTTCTCTCAGCCTCTCAGACATCCTTTTAGTTTCTCTCAGGATCCTCAATCACTTTTAATTCCCAATTCTGGGAGTTCAAAATTAAGTCTAATATGAATAATTTTAAAATTAAAAGTACTTGAATAATGCTAACAGCTAAGAAAAACCCACACTTTTAAGATAGTTGTTCTCTTCTCAAGACTGCTGACATTTCTTAGCAGTTGCAGAATGTAAGAGTTAATAAATTATATTTATCTACCACCTAGGGTAGGCAATGAACCATGTTACCTTGAAATTAAGGCTCTCATTGATGATGGTTTTCCGAAGTTTTGCCAAAGCATCGGATTCCTCAGTGGCATTCACAAAGTGGTAATCTCGTATTGCAGGAAACCCTCGTTTGTTCAAGAGTTCCTTGGTAATTTTACTGATACAGGCTTTGCGCTGCTTCTCATCAGTAACATCTAAATGTGTGCCAACAAGAATCACAGGGGAAGAAGAAGCACGGGCCTATGGAGAAAGATACAAAACACTCTTGTGTTTGTTTCAAAATCAAGACTGCATATATTTCCATTGATATTTACTTTCTACAAAATTCACTTGAGTTGAAATGAGAATTCAAAAGACTTCAAGAAAAAATGACAACTGTCTTTCCTTCCTTAAACCTAAGGAAACAAATTAACTTAAGAAATTTCTAAAAGTCATTTTTATTTTTATTTATTGTCACTTTTCAGGCTGCCTATATGACAGTAATAAAACATTTCTTTCTTCTGTGCCTAAAATGGGTTATTCTTTAAGTGTGCTTTGGGCTTCTAGATAAAATAGTATTTAATAACACCCAAATAATATCAGAGTAATACAACTTATTTTATATTTTCTCTTCTTTATCTGTGAATTAAAGCTCATTAATTCATATTATAGTAATTCAGTGTGGATTCTACAAAGAAAAAACAAGTCACTAAAGCAGTAAAGCATTTGGACAGTAATTTGAAGTAGAGGATTTATTTGGCAAAAACAGAACTATGTTCAGCAATGTGGAACTGAACATTATTTTTCATACAAAGTTAAAAGCACATTGTATTTCCTTCCTGACCACTTGCCCAGTCCCCATCTCTTTGAGAGAGAAAAGCTTCATCTAAATTATTTCATCTGATTGATGACTGTCAAATTTATAATTTTATTGCTACTTCTGTCTTGGGTATTCCTTTGGAAAAGGTGTATGGATTCATTACATATTCTAATGTATTATCTATAGATTATAAGATAAACTCAAGCATGTATCTGCTGATACTTTTTAAGCTGACCTGTCTTTATACTTAGAAATGTCTCTCAATAGTAGGTTTCCCTGGTGTCTCAGATGGTAAAGACTCTCCTGCAATTCAGGATCCCTGGGTCGGGGAGATCCCCTGGAGGAGGAAATGGCAACCTACTCCAGTAATCTTGCCTGGAGAATCCCATGAACAGAGGACCCTGGCAGGCTATAGTCCATGGTGTTGCAAAGAGTCAGGCATGACTGAGCAACTATCACTCACTCACTCAAAGCAAGTACTACTGCAACTATACTATTTGCTCATTTTGGCTAGCTATAATAAAGTTTTTTAAAAAGGAAGTTTAAAAAATCACCAAAATGACAAAATAAGCTTAATGGAGCCAAAATACATGCCAAAATTTCCTAGCAAATCCTTGTAAGCTTTGCCTCACAGAAGAGCCTACTAGAGCATTATTCAATGACCATTCATTTTTACTTTAGTCTCAATTCCAAAAAGGTACAATTTTTTAAAACCATATATACATAAAGGAACATCTAACAGCAAGAGACAAAATGAAAAAATTACAAACTTTCAAATATAATATTCATCTGGGACCATTTAAAACTGTAAGTTCCACAAGGCTTTACACTAAATTGCCTCTGAGGACACAGTTGGTAATGCATAGATTGCTTCTTTTTCTTACTACAGTTTATTTTAAAATAAGGAAATTCATATTATACATAAGTAATAATACCAGGAAGCTCCCTGATAGCCTCGTGGTTAGGATTTTGGGCTTTCACTGCCATGGTCCAAGTTCAATCCCTGGTCAGAGAACTGAGATCTTGCAAGCCACACAGTGCAGCCAATAAATAAATAAAATTAAATTTAAAAGAATATAAAAAATAGTCTAACATATATTCTCATTTTTAACAGATTAAAAGGGCTTCAAATTTCTATACCTTTCATTAACAAAGAACATACTATTTTCATGTCACAACTTAATTACTCCTAAAATTTCCTAACTCTAAGTGCTTCTAACTTTCTTGCAAAAAAGTATTTGAAAAGTCTGTTTGATGGTACTATTTGCCCCAAATAAATCACCTTATACACAATAAGAAAACCCATGAACTATTTTCTATTTTCAAATTATTAGATCATATCACCTTTATATTGAAAAGCCAAGGCTTCATGGCATCAACTTCAGCTTGCCCTTTGCTGAGGTCATAGACCGCAAGATACAAGGCTCGTTGGGTCATAAAGTGGGGATGAGTGCTGTAGAACTCCTCACGACCTAAATAAAGATCAGAGAACTTTTCAGTCTTCCAGAGAATAGACAAGAATCCTCATCTTCAAAAATAAAGTTAGGTGGCACTACCCACTATTTACCACACACAAAAAAAGAGAAAAACAATCAAAAGATAATAGTTACAAGATTACACTGGGTTTTTACTAGGGATTGACAACTTCTTGCTTATGTGTCAGCTACGTAGCTTCAGCTGACATGTGCTGGTTCCTAACATTTCCTTCCATGGCTTCTCCATTCTGGTGGCAAGGGAAGAATTAGGAGAAATAAATGACTTTGGAATAATTCCATATGACCCATCAGGTCTCTGTAGTATTGGAACAGAAAATTCAGTTTTTAAATCCCTTTTTTAAAAAAAGATATCTGAATAAAAAAATTTAGCAAAATAAATACCTGCAAAATCCCATACATTCAGAATGAGGTCTTTCTTCCCTTTGCCTCTTATTTGGATGGGCCAGTCTTTCACATCAATGCCAACTGTGGCACCTTGCATCCCAAGATCTGATTTCTTGATTTTCATCAATTGCTGCAATAAGGTGGTCTTGCCACTCCCAGTATTTCCCACAATCATAAGTTTCATTCGGTTATAGGGCACAGCCTTTTTCAACCGCTGCTGAAGAAACCTGGTATTTGAAAAACAAAAATAAAATAATAAATTGCTTACCAGTGTACTTAGGCTACACACTGAATTATTTTATATATCAAACTGTCATGATGTACAGTATGCAAAAGAGCACATAACTCATAATAACTTAATAATGCATGTGTCTTTCAATGCACTGTTAATACATCTACTTTGTTAGTGATGTTGGTCTAGGTAATAATGATTGGAAGCCTCAACAAATATAATGACACTAGAAACAAAGTATCAAAATGTTTTGTAATACTCATTAAAATTTTATATAAAACACATAAACACATGATTTCTCTAAATATCACAAATAAAACTCTAAAAATTATAAAGCATAAAATTCTACAAAGCCCATAGGATAAAGAATCAAGGTAGATCTATGTTTAGTTTTTTAAAGAACCTCCATAATGTTCTCCACAGTGGTTGTACCAATTTGCATTCCCACTAACAATGTAAGAGGGTTCCCTTTTATCCACCCCCTCCTCCAGCATTTATTGCTTATAGATTTTTTGATGATGGCCATTCTGGCAGATGCGAGGGGATACCTCATTGTAGTTTTTATTTGCATTCTCTAAGAATTAGTGATACTAAGCATCTTTTCATATACCCCGTGGCCATCTGTATGTCTTGTTTGTAGTGATGTCTATTTAGGTCTTTCACCCATTTTTGATTGGACTGTTTGATTTTTTGATATTGAGCTCCATAGGCTGTTTGTATATTTTAAAGGTTAATCCTTTGTCTGTTGCTTCATTTGCAAATATTTTCTCCCATCCTGAGGGTTGTCTTCTCATCCTGTTTATGGTTTCCTTTGCTGTACAAAAGCTTTTATGTATAATTAGGTGCCAATTGTTTTTTTTTATTTTCATTATTTTAAGGGATAAGTCAAAAAAAGATCTTGCTGTGATTTATGTCAAAGAGTATTTTTCCTGTTTTCCTTTGAGTTTTACAGTTTCCAGTCTTTAATCCATTTTGACTTTATTTTTTTATATGATATTAGGTAGAATTCTAACTTCATTCTTTTACATGTAGCTGTCCAGATTCCCCAGCACCACTTACTGAAGAGGCTGTCTTTTCTCTATTGTACTCTTGCCTCCTTTGTTATAGTTTCAGTTCAGTTCAGTTCAGTCGCTCTGATCGAAAAGAGCGAGCAGAGCTTACTCCGCTCTTACAAAGTACCGGAGCTTACTCAAACCCAAATCCATCAAGTCAGTGATGCCATCCAACCATCTCATCCTCTGTCGTCCCCTTCTCCTCCTGCCTCCAATCCCTCCCAGCATCAGGGTCTTTTTCAATGAGTCAGCTCTTCACATCAGGTGGCCAAAGTATTGGAGTTTGAGCTTCAGCATCAGTCCTTCCAATGAACACCCAGGACTGATCTCCTTTAGGATGAGCTTGTTGGATCTCCTTGCAGTCCAAGGGACTCTCAAGACTCTTCTCCAACACCACAATTCAAAAGCATCAATTTTTTGGCGCTCAGCTTTCTTTACAGTCCGACTCTCACATCCATACATGACCACTGGAAAAACCATAGCCTTGACCAGACGGACCTTTGTTGGCAAAGTAATGTCTCTGCTTTTTAGTATGCTATCTAGGTTGGTCATAACTTTCCTTCCAGGGAGTAAGCGTCTTTTAATTTCATGGCTGCAATCACCATCTGCAGTGATTTTGGAGCCCCAAAAAATAAAATCCTTCACTGTTTCCACTGTCTCCCCATCTATTTCCCATGAAGTGATGGGACCTGATTCCATGACCTTAGTTTTCTGAATGTTAAGTTTTAACCCAACTTTTTCACTCTCCTCTTTCACTTTCATCAAGAGGCTTTTTAGTTCCTCTTCACTTTGCCGTAAGGGTGGTGTCATCTGTATATCTGAAGTTATTGATATTTCTCCTGGCTATCTTGATTCCAGCTTGTGCTTCTTCCAGCCCAGCGTTTCTTATGATGTACTCTGCATATAAGTTAAATAAGCAGGGTGACCAGGGTGACAATATACAGCCTCGACGTACTCCTTTCCCAATTTGGAACCAATCTGTTGTTCCATGTCCAGTTCTAACTGTTGCTTCCTGACCTGCATACAGTTTTCTCAAGAGGCAGGTCAGGTGGTCTGGTATTCCCAGCACTTTCAGAATTTTCCACAGTTTATTGTGAGCCACACAGTTGAAGGCTTTGACATAGTCAATAAAGCAGAAATAGATGTTTTTCTGGAAGTCTCTTGCTTTTTTTGATGATCCATTGGATGTTGGCAATTTGATCTCTGGTTCCTCTGCGTTTTCTAAAACCAGCTTGAACATCTGAAAGTTCACGGTTCACGTATTGCTGAAGCCTGGCTTGGAAGAATTTTGAGCATTACTTTACTAGTGTGTGAGATGAGTGCAATTGTGCGGTAGTTTGAGCATTCTTTGGGATTGTCTTTCGTAGGGACTGGAATGAGAACAGACCTGTTATAGTTTAGGTGACCATAAACATAAATGTGGGTTTATCTCTGGGCTTTCTATCCTGTACTACTGGTCTATGTTTCTATTTTTTGTGCCAGTAATGTACTATAGTGTTTTGATTACTATAGTTTTGTAGTATAGTTTGAAGACAGGGAACCTGATTTCTCCTGCCCTATTTATCTTTTTCAAGATTACTTTAGCTTTTCAGGGTCTTTTGTGTTTCCATACAAACTATAAAAACTTTTGTTCTAATTCTGTGAAGAATGCCATTGGTAATTTGATAGGAATTGCATGGAATCTGTAGATTGCTTTGTGTAGTATATTAATTTTCTATAAATTCTATCAATTCTTCCAATAGAAGAACATGGTGTATTCTTCCATCAGTTTGTATTCTCTTTGATTTCCTTCATCAGTGTTTTTTAGTTTTCTGAGTATAGTTCTTTTGCTTTCTTAGGTAGATTTATTCCTAGGTAATTTATTCCTTTGTTGTGATGGTAAATGTGATTACTTTCTTAATTTCTCTTTTAACTCTTTTGTTGCTAGTGTATAGAATGCAAGAGATTTCTGTGCATTAATTTTGTATCCTGAAACGTTACCAAATTCATTGATAATGTCCCAGCAGTTTTCTGGTAGAATCTTTTGAATTCTCTGTATATAGTAACATGTCATCTGTGAACAGTTTTACTTCTTCCTTTTCAATTTATATTCCTTTTATTTCTTTTTCTTCTCTAACTGCCATGGTGAGGGCTTACAAAACTATGTTGAATAAGTGGTGAGACTGGATATCCTTGTCTTGTTCCTGATGTTAGGGGAAATGCTTTCAGTTTTTCACCACTGAGAATGATGCTTGCTGTGAGTCTGTCATATATGGCCTTTATTATGTTGAGTAAGTTCTCTCTATGCCCATTTTCTGGAGAAGGAAATGGCAACCCACTCTAGTATTCTTGCCTAGAGAATCCCATGGACAGAGGAGCCTGGTGGGCTGCTATTCACAGGGTCGCAGAGTCGGACACGAATGAAGTGACTTAGCATGCATGCATGCATTGGAGAAGGAAATGGCAACCCACTCCAGAATTCTTGCCTGGAGAATCCCAGGGACAGAGAAGCCTAGTGGGCTGCCATCTATGGGGTCGCACAGAGTCAGACAAAATTAAAGAGACTTAACAGCAGCAGCATGACCATTTCTGGAGAGTTTTGGTCATAAAAGGGTGCTGAATTTTGTCAAAAGCTTTTTCTGCATCTATTGAGATGATCATATGATTTTTATTCTTTAATATGTTAATATGGTATACCACATTGATTTATTTGCATATATTAAAGAATCCTTGCATTCCTGTGATAAACTCCACTTGATCATGGTATATGATCCTTTTAATTGGTTGCTGGATTCTGTTTGCTAGTATTTTGTTGAGGATTTTTGTGTCTGTGTTCNTATTTAGTACATGTATTCATATATGGTATACATAATGTATATATTCATATATATTGCACATGCATACATATAATGTACATGGAAAGGAAGAACATATTGGTTAAATTACACTGATACACATAAATGATTTTACTATCAGCAGATAATATGTTGCTATTCCTAACAATCTTAATGCAAAAGTAATTGAAACTTACTAGAAGTGCTACAAGTGGCTAACAATACCACCTTTAAATTAACAGAACATGTAAATGTTTTCAAAAATAAAATGGATACAGAAAAATACATTTAACTATGATAAAGTTACCATAGTTCAAAATTAGAATAGTAAACTAAATCATAAGTGAATCTTAGGGAACATTAACTGATTCATTCTCACAATTAATAGGACTCTGAGCAACATTCTTGATAATCTGCATCACTAATAAACAAGAAAATCAATGTCCCAAGTATCTATTTATTAAGACTTCATCATTCTTTGTCATTCTTCAAAGAAGCAAGTGAGAACTACAATTTCTAAATTATCCCAGGTCTAAGTTCTCTCTAAAAATGTTTAAAAGGTTTTAAAATATTTAAGTTACACAGTAGCTTGATAGCATAATACTCTGAAAACTTCTTACAACTAAACAGTTTAGTAAGAATTGAACAAATTTTATATAAGCATCTTCTCCAGTTTCAGGAAGGAAAATCACGGGAAATAATTATGTAGGATGAGGGGTAGTCATGTTTTTTAGCATAGCAGCTGACAAACACTTTGATCATAAAATAGAAAGTTAAATGTAAATTAACAAAACTTAAAGAAGAGAATTAGGTAACTAGATAACTAGGTAATTAGGAACTACAAGTTAACTGATAATGCAACAATTATTAATTGTATGCCAGACTCTGTGTTTGGTGCCATGAACAAGACTAACATGCTCAAATGGTAACAAAGAATAGAATAAAGTTCATTATTAACTTGAAGTTCATAGAGTATAAAATCAGAAACAAGCATACTTGAACGTTTTGGTGGTTTCAAAAATGATCAGGCTGAGTAGGTTATCAGCTTCATAGGCAAAACAGAAGCAATTTTATATTCTTTAAGTAACTATAATGCTTTAAGATATAATAGACATATGATAAACACTTCCTACATGAAACCCAGATCGAGAAGCCATTATATTCTGCTCTATTTCATCAAATTGATAATTGGTAATAAGAAAACAAGGATTAATAATTTCCTTTTAGAGTCTATTTCTACTGAAAAGCATAATAAGGAGAAGTCGCTTTCTCAAACTTAACTTGGCCAGGAGGAAATAAAAAGCTCTGAAGTAGAACCAAATAAACCCATTCACTAAGTAAAAGGCAAGTGATATACAGTACATCATGCTAGATGGTCCTATACATTCTTTTTTTATGAATTGTAACTATATATCCACCAAAGTAACCAGAAAAGTACATCGGAAACAAATTTAGTAAAAAAAGAAAAAAAATCAAAATAAAATTATCTAACCTTATGATGTCTTTGGCTTTACATCCTACATGTTTAAAATCAAAATTAAGATGCAGTTCATCCAAAGGAAGATCCCATATTTTGCTTAATTTCCCCATTTCATTAGGAAAGGATCTCAGTTCCAAGTTGTAACTAACATCAAGAGATGTCAGATTTTCAAGACAGCCAATCTCAGGAGGAATCTTAATGAAATAAAAAAGAGCAAACGCTGTTGGTGGGAAGGAAGAAAAGTGTGCTGCCAAAAAAACAAGATGCTACTAGAAAACAAGAGAGGCTCAGAGAATCTATGAGCAAACTGTACAGCCTTCCAACAGAGTTCTAAAATTTTCCAAAGGTTTGTCATAGTTTCCATCAAAAATGTCTGAAAACATAAAGGACTTACCCAAAACAATCTATGGCATTTGTTTATAATCTTTTAAAACCCATTCTCCCTTGGAAGCATATTTCATCGCTTCACAACATTGAAATAAAGAAGATTTTTATATGTATCCAAATCCAATCATCGGTGGTTTCAGGCTATTCCCTCTCACTATGTTCTTCAGTAAAACCAAAGATCTAATCATCACAAATTTACATATAATTTAACATTCTCAAAATACAACTAAATGTTTAAACCTTAGGTGGCATAATAATTGCAATAATCCAAATTTTTAAGTAATATTCATTATTTTTATAATAGCTAACAGTAATCTGATGCAAAAAAGCTAGGTACCAAAATTATGCAGTTATTCTGGAACCTCATGGTTTCAGACACATTACTCTCTGGCTTTTATAGGCAATAGGCTTGAAGTTGGCAAAAAAATATGTTTTCTGGGATGAATGGATAGTCAATTTCAGATTTATAATCAAGACTGGTCCATTTGGATGAGGGGGTGGGTGAGTAAAATGGAAGAATACAGAAATTTAAGAATGTGGAAAAAAATGTCAGCTGAAGAACAAAGGCTATATATTGCCTGGTGAAACTTGAGAAATGCAGCATGTCTGAGAGTCTGTTAACAGATCAGAGATTTCATGATAAATTGACACAATTAAAGCATTACAAGTATTTGTAATTAAACATATATAAATATATATATATTCAAAATAAAAGAGAGTACAAAAGGCAATCTTTAAGGAAATTAAGCATGTTAGTATACCCATTTACTTCGGGGTAGGAGTAGATCTTACTCAAAAAGTAATTAAGCAGTATCAAATAACAGATTTTGAAAAGATCATCTTTGATAACAGACATTACAAAAGCACATTTTTTTCAAATTGGCAATAATTTTAAATAAATATGATCTCTTTACCTCTTTCAGTTTATTATGAGAAAGATGTAGTTTCTCTATTCTAGACCATGCACATGCTTTTTCACTCAAGTCCAAGATACTGATCTGGTTATGACTAAACAAGAGTTCCCTTAAGTTCAAAGATCTCCAGTGCACAGGACCTGGTAGATATCGAATATCATTGCTGCTCATATCTAAGGACCGCAGACTGAAACAATACAACGTCGAGAATAAAAATCAAATGAGTATTTCCTAAATACATGAAATAACATCACAAATAACTTTCAGCAGAGTGAGAATAAGATATAATTTTAAAACTAATATTACTTAAGTCAGTTCTAATGAGGCGGATGAAACTGGAGCCTATTATACAGAGAGAAGCAAGTCAGAAAGAGAAACAACAACACTGTATATTAACGCATATATATGAAATTTAGAAAGATGGTAACAACAATCTTAAGTGCAAGGAAGCAAAAGAGACAGAAATGTAAAGAACAGGCTTTTAACTCTCTGGGAAAAGGCAAGAGTGGTATGATTTGAGAGAACAGCACTGAAATATATGCATTACCATATGTAAAAAGATGACCAGTCCAAGTCTGAAGCATGAAGCAGGGCACTCAAAGCCGCTGCTCTGGGACAACCCAGAGGGATGGGGTGGGGAGGGAGGTGGGAGAGGGGGTTCAGGATCGGGGGACACATGGGCACCCATGGCTGATTCATTTCGACATATAGCTAAAACTATCACAATATTGTAAGTAATCATGCTTCAGTTAATAGAAATTAATTAAAAGAAAAGAAAGTTTTTAAAAAACTTATATATGAGTACACAGGTATGAGTTTTTTATATATGTAAAGGTATATACAGTAGGATAAAGAGGCATGTCTTAATAGGAACATTTAAATAAGGCCCAATAAAAACAAAATTGCGGTCTAATTTCCCTACTTGAGAAATATAAAAATGTCAATCAGAATGAAAGATCGTATTTTACAAACATTTACGATGTATGAGAAATCATAATTAACAAATGCAAAAACAGTCTTAAAATTCCTGCCTTCTATACAAGATTCACAGATATGTAGCTTCCATTTCTCTCTTCAGTCTCATTCAAATCTGGAGGTATTTTTCAGAGGTCAGGTCCTCGAGTTTATTATCACTTTTACCAGCTTGTCTCAGTGTGAAAAATATCATAACACTGAGCATGATATCTTGTATACAGTAGGACCTCAATGAAAACATGTTGCTTTCATGCAGGAATAGCTACCCAAAAAGAAAATGAAGCGCTCAGTCATGTCTGACTCTTTGCAACCCCATGGACCGTAGCCTACCAGGCTCCTCCGCCCATCGGATTTTCCAGGCAAGGGAACTGGAGTGGGGTGCCATTGCCTTCTGCAGGGGATCTTCCCAAAACAGGAACTGAACCCCCAGGTCTCCTGCATTGCAGGCAGACACTTTACCGTCTGAGCCAGCAGGGAAGCAAAGTTTGTAAGAAATAGCAGGAAAACACATGTCACATGTAAGTTCACATGTGTAGAAAGACTAAAGATAGCAACTGTGGTATATTTGACTATGTAAAGGTTGCCTGGACTTTTACTACTGTTACTGATTCCTTTCACCCAGCATATTTGAAGCATGATAAATTAATTCTAAGCTCTGCTAGACCAAGATTCAGATCTATAAAGCAACATTTTTGCTCTACTTTGTAAATATTAGATCTTGCTCTAGTTACCTTATAAAAATGTTGAAAGCAATAAAATTAATTTGACTATATGAAAGGTAAGACACGTATGTGTGACCAACAATGCGACTGAGACAAAATTGACAATCGTCAAGTTGTTCAAAGGCAGTGCCTCTTGGCTTTAAGACTAAGCTTGGAGCCTAAAGGTGGCCAAGTACATGCTCACTTGTGAAACAAGAGAATAAATTTAAAGAAATACATATAAACACTTGAAATGTATGCCTGAAGATGGTGTCTGAAGGTAAAGTGTAATTAGGGACTGGATAAATTTCTAGCTCTCTAGGAAGAAACCTTCCTTATGACATTAATCTTTTACAAATAAGTGGTCTCCAAACATGTTTTCAGAAAAGCATTATGTTTAAAATATAAAACCATCTATATTCTATAGGTGCTTGTATGTCAGAATTAAGAGTCTGAAATCAAACTACCAGTGTGGTGGTTTGAAGTATGACTTTGGGCAAGTTACTTCCTCTCTTTAATGAAACAGTGTTCTCATTATAAAGTAGAGATGATAACAACTACTGATATTTCATAGGATTATTAGGAAGATTAAAGATATGATCTGCTGTTAAGCAGTTAGAACAGTGTTCCACACATTTTAATGCTAGTTTTAAATTGACTACTATATATCTATCTCACATCTTCCATGGCTAAATTACAAGTATTATTTACCTGTATATATATATATATATATGCACATGTACCTTTATGGATTTTGCTTATAATATATAACACTAGTAGAATAGTTATTTAAGATGACAACACCTTTGAAAGCCATTTAATACTTGAATTTGTAGTTAACAGGAAGCTTTATTTTTAATGAAATTAACTAAAAATATTCCCAAATACCTGAAACTACATAAATTTTCACCAAAAATGTCATTCAAACATAAGTGAAATATAATTTCCAAGTTAACAGTGTCTTAGCAACATAATCTCAAAGCAAGTGAAATTTTAAAAGTTAAAGTGATGCCAGTACAATCTCATTTGATTACAATAATGCAACCATTAATTACTCTTGTTTCTATGCAACAACACATTAAATTAAAATAAAAGTTTAAAAGTCCAAACAACTTAGGTCTTTTGTCTAATAAAAATCAAACATTCATAGATTTTAAAACATTAAGCTTAGTATATTTAGAAATCAATTACATTTATATGTCTAAGTTAAAACCAAGTTTCTGAAAGTTCTGTTCCAGCTCATGTAGTTTTTAAAATTAAAATAATAAACTTACTGTGGGAGATGTAAAATTGCTTCTGGGACACATGTGAATCTGTTTTGAGATAATCTTAGGCTTGTGATAGAAGAAGGCAAAAAAGGCATAGCAGCTAAGAGAAAATAAAGGTGAGTTAATGAACTTTTTAATCACTCTAACTAGATTTCTACCAGATTCCACACTAAGACAGCTATCAGTGATCTGACATGTAATTTAATTTCCATTCTCACCCTGACAATAAAAAGTTTTACTTTTAAAATTAGTTAATACTACCACAAAATATTAAAATAATACACCATAATTATAAGAATCTTCTAACCTGAAAGCACTGCAAGTGTCTAAATATAAATTCTTCTAACATCTGCACAAAGGAGAAATCATTAGAATATTCATTTCAAAGTATGTATGATATTATGTGACATATATTATGCATGCATGCAAGCATGCTAAGTAGCTTCCATCATGTACTACTCTTTGCAATCCTATGAACTGTAGCCGGTTAGACACCCGTGTCCATGGGATTTTTCAGGCAAAAATAATAGAGTGGGTTGCCATGCCCTCCTGCAGGGAATCTTCCCAACCCAGAGATCCAGGAGTCTCTTATGTCTCCTGCATTAGCAGGTGGGTTATTTACCACTAGCACCACCTGGGAAGCCCTATATATAATATATGTTAATTCAAATTACTGAAGTAAGTTTAAAAAACCATTTTGGAATATGTTACTAACCACAGCATGATATAAAAATTCTCTTTAAAACCATCTTGTAAAGAATATTCTATGGAATAATTATGAAAATGAAATTGGAAGTGATAGTCACTCAGTCGTGTGTGACTCTTTGCGATCCCATGAAATGTAGCCTGCCAGGCTCCTCTGTCCAGGGCATTTTCCAGGCAAGAATACTGGAATGGGTTGCCACTCCTTTCTCCAGCATATCTTCCTGACCCAGGAATCAAGCCCAGGTCTCCTGCATTGCAGGCAGATTCTTTACCATCTGAGCCACCAGGAAAGTCCACTGAATAATTAGGGATGTTACTTAATAAAAGGATTCTTTGATCATATGATCTTAACAGAATGGGGAAACATTAGGCAAAATAAAGTGAAATAATCTCAAAGTTGTCAATACCCAGGTCTCCCGCATTGCAGGCAGACTCTTTATTGTCTGAACCACCAGGGGAGCCACACCAGAGCTGTCAACATTTTGATGTATTTTATGAATTTCCAAAAGGGAAATACAGTATTAATACAAGGTATTTCCAAGGAATAAAATTCTATGGAACATAATTTTGGAAACTAAATAAATCATACTGCCTTTTTTGTCATCTGTAAAAGTGCATCTAAATCAGATGAAGTCTGAGATTGCTTAGCGATCTGAAAATCGGTGGTTCTGTGAAAGTGGTTTGAGAAATTAGTTCTTAGCATTTTCAAGGTTAATAATATGGGTTATCCTTTATCAAGAAAATCTTTAAGGGTCAAAATGTTCCAGGATATTACTAGAAGCTGTCTTCCTAAGAAGCAGAAAGGTACATGCTATACCTTACCTATTTCCAAAAAGTATTTGTAGCAAAATAAATTAGTATAATAGAAGTAATTATCTACTTAGGAATTAAGAGTCTTTAGGTCCAGAGAGCTTTAGGTCTTGAGCTTTCTCATTCCATGAGAAAGACTCATAAAATCAAAGAATTGAAACTTCATTTCACAGAGAAATTTTTAATGGTTAGGGTTCCAATGAGGTTATCGCCTCCATAGGGTATTTTTCCAAATACAAGGCCACTTCTACAACTATTAAATTTGTGTCATGCAAAGAAAGCGGATTCCTGAAACAACTAATTAATTAATTCTATGTTCCTGAACATTTCACGCAAAAATCTCAGTGCTTCAATTTCCTCAATTAGTCAAGCAGAGGTCATATTGTCCTATAGGACTTTTGTGAGATTCAGCTGAGATGACACATTGACCATATGCTAGCCCAGGGTCCCTCAGATGCTCTTTTTTTCTAGATCCAATTAAATGCAACAAACACAGACACTTCCCTATCTCCACAGTTTAGATCGGATCCCCTTGAGGTACCCTCGTAGCACCTTGAAACTTATCATCGTAGTATTTAGCACAATACACAATTACACTCATTTGTTCTATCATTACTTACTGTCTTCTGAACTTAACTACATGTTCCTTCAGGACAGAGTCTGAATTGCTTTGCTCATTAGTGAGTGAATAATTCTATACCCAGTTTCAGGCTCATGATAAGAACATGGTCAATATTCAAGAGGGTGAAAGGAAGGGAAAGAGAAGGAAAGTAATTCTATGTAAATTAATATGGATTTTATTGTTAGTAGCTTCTCAAAAATATATAAAAATAAAATATTTTAAAGTAAGTACTCAAAGTATATTCTACTATTTAATAGAATTAAAAATTATTTTACCAAGTCAGGTATAGAATAGGCATGTGGGTGGCAAGGTCTGTATGGCCTTCATTAAGGAAGCTAAAATAGGGGGAAAGTTCCCATTTATTACCATAAAACTACTTTGTTCCTCAATATTAGAATTTGCAGACAGGCTAAAGTGAACATAAATCCCTGCTGTCTCACATGCTAAGAGAACATAGAGTGTTCCAGATTTTTAACAAAAGTGACAATCATAGAGCCCGTGATTATAATATTTTGAACAGAGCAAGAGCTCAATGAATACACATTAAGCTAACCAATTTGAAAACTTCTAAAAGACTAATTTGTTTCCTAAAAAATAATAATAGCACATATACTCCAGAAAACTGCTGAACAAATTTCAGTAGGAAACCCAGTATTTCTGCTTCAACCATCTCAGGCAGCCATACTGAAATTTTAGTATAATCACAGAACCACAGATTAATGACTACTTGCACTCCAAGATGCTGCAGTCTTGGGCTTCCCTGGAGGCTCAGTGGGAAAGAATCTGCTTGCAGTGCAGGAGATCCGGGTTCAATCCCCAGGTTAGGAAGATCCCCCTGGATTGAGGAGGGAATGTCAACCCACTCCAGTATTTTTGCCTAGAGAATCCCCTGGTCAGAGGAGGCCAGCAGGCTACAGTCCATGGGGTCACAAAGAGTTGGACACAACTGAGCAACTAACACTTTTCATAAGATATTGACATTTTAGCCTATGACAATAACAGCATGTTAAATAGCATAATATAATTTTTAATATTTTAGAATTTAAAAACTAGACTAATTTTTAGAGCAGTTTTAGGTTTACAGAAAAATTGAGAGGAAAATACAAAGTTCTCCCATATTCACCTTTTCCCCTCTCCACCACCAGCCCACACACATACATCTTTTCCCCATTATGAACACCTAGAATAGGATGTGCTGTGTGCTTAATGCTTAGTCGTGTCCAACTCTTTGCAACCCCATGGACTGTAGCCCACCAGGATCCTCTGCCCATGGGGATTCTCCCAGCAGGAATACTAGAGTGGATTGCCGTGCCCTCCTCCAGGGGATCTTCCCAACCCAGGGATTGAACCCAGGTCTCCCACATTGCAGGCAGATTCTTTACCATCTGAGCCGCCAGGGAAGCCCTAGAATAGAATAGTTTGGTATATTTGTTATAACTGATGGGCCGATAATATTAAGTAAAAGTCCACAGTTTACAACAGAGTTCACTCTTCAATTACAATAGAGTTTCCTCTTTGACAGGGCTTCCCTGGTAGCTGAGCTGGTAAAGAATCCGCCTGCAATGTAGGAGACTCCGGTTCAATTCCTGGGTCGGGAAGATTCTCCTGAAGAAGGGATAGCCCATCCACCCAAGTATTCCTGGGTTTCCCTGGTGGCTCAGATGGTCAAGAGTCTACCCACAAAGCAGGAGACCTGGGTTCAATCCCTGGGTTGGGAAGAGCCCCTTGAGAAGGGAACAGCTACCTACTCCAGTATTCTTGCCTGGAGAATTCTATGGATAGCCAACACTCTCTCCCTCACTCCACAATCCTGGAAATTGCTGGTTGTTAGCTTTGCCATTCCCAAAATGTCATAGAGTTAAAATTATGCAGTGTGTAATCTTTTCAGATTGGCTTCTTTAACTTAGCAATATGCATTTAAGTTCCCTCCACATTTCACAGCTTGACAGCTCATTTCTTTTTATCACCAACCTGCAAACTTTGTATTTAATACTCTAGCATAATATTTAACTGAAACACCACCGTTAAATCCCCACCTAAAATGTTCATACAGGACTCATGTGATTACTTTTATTTGTTCCATTTGACCCATATAACACTCAAAATGACTGGAAAGAGAAGTCTCATAAAAAGCACTTACCAAGAAAATTCATTCTGGCACTTAAAATCTCCACTTTAGGACAAGTCTCAAGGAAGTCCTCTGATAAAGATGAAATGTGGTTTTTACTAAGGTTTAAAATCTTCAGTTCCTTCAGGCTCAAAGGGGAACATATTTCTGATATTTTATTTCTAGTCATAGGAGACAAAGTGAGGATTAAATTGCATAAATTCACAGGCTTTGAAGGAAAACAGTCAACCATCTTCAAAAAGAGCATCAAAGCACATTTATTAACTTTTAAATTAATTGTAAAAATTTAAGTCAACTGATAGAAGCTGTATTATGAATTGTCTCAGTTCTTTATCACTCTACCATGTAAAATTCATTACTATGGAAACAATGTCACTGTGTGTTAACCTTATGAAACTTCAATGTGAGGCAACCCTTTTTGTCTTCAATAAACTCCATGCTTACCCTTCTAAAATGAGCTGTTCCAATTTCTCTACCACGTCACCAAGGTTCGCAGGAAGAGAAGATATCTGATTATATGACAAGTTAAACTGTTTCAAGGTCGGGCACGTCACAGCAGGGTCCAAAACTACGGAGGGTCCAATATCATTTCGAGAGACATCAAGGTTAGCAATACAACTCATTTTCAACAAGTAAGTGGGAAACGATGTAAATTTATTACTATGCAGATCCAAATGTGTTAAACATTTCAGAGTCTGAAAAGACAAAATTTTTTAAATTTTAAATGAACCATCTGAAAAACTTAAATCTAGCTAATATTTCTGTCTTCCATATCTCTGGTAACTACAACCATTAAGACTTTTCCAAAAAATTGAAAATACAATTGAAAAGACAACTTCTGTATACTCACTAGTCCTATCTGCTCTGCTATAAAATGGGTAAAGACAAGAAAAATATTAATAGGTGGACAGTCAAAAGCAGGCTCACCAAATAAGGTTTAGAGTTTAATTCAGCTTTTGTGGTAAATTATTCTTGCAATGAGTAAAATGGGAGAATAATAATAGGCTCCAACAAATACTTGAACAAATGACTTAATGAATAAGCAGTACAACATAATCCTGGGAATATATTTTTCTCTAGCTTTTACATATTGTTTAACATTTTAATATAAGTAAGATATAACCATAAATTAGTCATGTATATAATACACATGTTATTTCATAAACCCCTCTTTCAAACAAAATATTTTGTATTAAAAGTCTATTTTCTATTTTTAATATATTATATATTTATTATATTACTAATAATTATATTCATTATATTTTGAATGTTTATACTCTATCATTTATTTATATCATTATATATTAATTATATGATTATGCAGCATAAATATATTATAAATTATATATAAATCTTTTAAATTTGTACTATAGACAAATATGTCTTACAAACTATGCATAATATATGAATTTTAAATATATAAGTTATATTTTATATACAATATATATTATATAACATAAGATATTTATAGTATATATAATGATATATATTACATGCTGTCTATACAATTATAAATATATAATACTATCTTATAATTATAAAATAATATATAATATAAAACATGTTATTTTGTATATTATATACAATTTATGGTTATAAATATATATTTTATAATTTATACAACACATACTATAATCATAAATTATATAGCATATAATATATAATGTATGAATTGTATATAAACATTATTTGAATAATATATAAATAACATTTATATTATATATATGTGATATATGATATATATTTATATCATATATATCATATTTATGTGATATAAATATTATATGTTTATTTATATTATGGACTTCCTAGGTGGCACTAATGGTAAAGAACCTGCTGCCAATGAAGGAGACAAAACAGACATGCGTTCGATCCCTGCTTTAGGGAGATTCCCTGGAGGAGGGCATGGCACCCCCTCCAGTAATCTCACTTGGAGAATCCCAAAGACAGAGGAGGTCATAATATTATACATAAGTATGTAATTAAATACTTATAAGTATATAATTTATATACCTAAATATATAAATATATATTATAGAAATACATTTTAATATAAATAAGAGTTAACCATAATCATGTAATAATACATGTTTTATTTTATAACCTCCTCTTTCAAATGAATTTTCCAGTTTCTTGTGATTCACACAGTCAAAGGTTTTAGCATAGCCAATGAAGCAGAAGTAGATGTTTTCCTGGACTTCCTTGCTTTTTCTATGATCCAACGGATGTTGGCAATTTGATCTCTGGTTCCTCTGCCTTTTCTAAATTCAGTTTGTACATTTGTAAGTTCTTGTTTCATATACTATTGAAGCCTAACTTGGAGAATTTTGAGTATGACCTTGCTAGCATGTGCAATGAGTGTAATTGTGTGGTATTTTGAACATTCTTTGGCATTGCCCTGCTTTGGGATTGAAATGAAAACACCTTTTCCAGTCCTGTGGGCACTGCAGAGTTTTCCAAATTTGAGGGCATATTGAATGCAGCACTTTAACAGCATCATCTTTTAGGATCTGAAATAGCTCAGCGGGAATTCTATCACCTCCACTAGCTTCGTTTGTAGTGAATCTTCCTAAGGCCCATTGGACTTCACACTCCAGGATGTTTGGCTCTAGGTGAATGATCACACCATCATGCTTGTTCAGGTCATTAAGATCTTTGGATAGTTCTTCTGTGTATTCCTGCCACCTCTTACTAACATCTTCTTCAGTTAGGTCTATATCATTTCTGCCCCTTATTGTGCCCATCTTTGCATGATTGTTCCCCTGGTATCTCTATTTATCTTGAAGAGATCTCTAGTCTTTCCCATTGTTTTCCTCTAATTCTTTGCATTGTTCATTGAGGAAGGCTTTCTTATCCCTCCTTACTATTCTTTGGAACTCTGCATTCATATGGGTATATCTTTTGTTTTCTCCTTTGCCTTTTGCTTCTCTTCTTTTCTCAGTTATTTGTAAGGCCTCCTAAGACAACCCTTTTGCCTTTTTGCATTTCTTCTTGGAGATGGTTTTGACCACTGCCCCCTGTACAATGTTACAAACCTCCATCAATAGTTCTTCAGGCATTCTGTCTATCAGCTCTAATCCCTTGAATCTGCCTGTCACTTCCACTGTATAATCATAAGGGATTTGATTTAGGTCATACCTGAATGGACTACTGAAAATTTTCCCTACTTTCTTCAATTTAATTTTGAATTCTGCAATATGGAGTTCATGATCTGAGCCACAGTCAGCTCCAGGTCTTGTTTTTGCTGACTACAGAATCTTCGAATGCCCTAATATATACTATAAATACTATTCATAATATATAAATGCCATTTATAATTATTTATATTATATATTTCTATATAAATATATAATGCCATGTTCTATTCATATTCTCTTTGGTTTAGCTAGACTAAACTCTAGTTTTCCTTCACTTACTCTTTCGTAAATATTTATTGATAGTCAGCCAAGTGTCAGTCATTAGTTTCTTGACAAATTACTTCAGTAATCATCTATACAGCCTCTACTATACTTACTAGGCACTGAGGGTACATATGAAAGGATAGATTAGACATGAACAGGCTGAAAGAGTTTCTGTTCTCAAGGAGTTTACAATTCAGTGAGGACAATATACCTTAGATTCAAATTTATAGTGTGAGCATTGGAGGAAAAAGAGTGGGTGCCACGGAAATCCAACCGAGCCTAGAGACTGGATCCAAAATGAGCCCCTGTAACTTTGAAGATTTAGTCAGGTAAAAGGAAGCTAGAGAGGGGCCATATTTTAGACACTGTGGTGGGGGTAGGCATCACCTTTCTTTCTTCTCTCTCTTCAGATACACAAACTTTAAGGGAAAGATATCCCTTAAATATATTTCAAAATCATACAACTCTGCTTTTAAAGTGTCAAAATTATGGTAAATTTTTTAAGTTAGAAAAAGGGGAAATGTACTTGCAACAAAATTAGTTTTCAAAAAACATATAATTCTTTATCAAACTTTGCAGTTCAACCCAGGAATTCATTTAATAATTTAAAAGGCAGTATTATGATCATTTTAATTTGTAAGCATATCTTTGAATTCTAATGTATAGTACATAAAAATGATGAACAAAGTAATGAGTCAGAGGACTACCCTATTGGCAGATTACTTTAAAATTTAGTTGCTATAAAATAGGAATTTTGAGGGTAAAAATCAATTTTTAAGGTGCATATAATTTAAAAAATTGATTAATGGATAGTTTAGTTGAGCCTCTTTGTTTTGCAGACAAGAAAATGAGGGCCTAGAGCAGTTGAAGTGATATGTTCTTATTGTCATACAGTTGGTAGCTGAACAAAGTCAGGACCATCAAACCAGATCTAATTTAATTTAAACAGTTTAAGTTGTCTTACTAGAATTAAATAATTGAAGGCATAATCAACATGCAACCTTGCCAGACTTTAATACATACCATGAATCATCAGGAAAGAACCTAGAATTCCTTTTTAATCAGATTTCCATTTCCACTGTCTGCCCCCAAAGATGCATCTGAAAGACCACATAAACTAAGATACTTGTGTGACAACCAGAACAATGGAGGAATTACTGTCCAATGACACAAAAGTAGAACCTTCTTTTTAAAGATTTAAACATACAACTTAGATACAAATGTAGATGCTCTTGAAATATCCTGAGAATTATAAGGATAAATTAAATTTACTTCACACAGCTGTTGTGGAAAGCTTGTGAGTGAATTCTGGTGAAGCTCCAGCTTTTCAAGATGTTCCAAATGACCACTTATACAGGAGTTCTGGCTCAGGGCATCAACATCTCTTAGTTCATTTGCTGAAAGGTCTAACGATGTAATATATTCTCTCTCAGAAGGCAGGGAAGAAATGCTCTCTGAATGCCTCATATGGGACTGGAATTTTGATGCTCCTTTTGTCAAAAAAAAAAAAACAAAGGAGACATAAGCAAGTAATTTAAGTTTACTCAGTAAATGCTTATTGATCATCTACCAGTGTCAGGTTCTCTTCAAGGCATTGGAATAGAAAACCAAACTATGAAACTTTTATTCCAGTGTCAGACATGAAAGTAAATAATAAATATTAAATCAGGTAATTTAAGTAATATAAACAATAGACCTAGAGAAGAACATTAAGAATGGCACTGGTGGAGGGTTTTTATTTACTTTTTAGGAAAACAGCAGGAAGGATGAAAACTCTCTGGTATAACATCATAAAAGCTTAAATTTTAAATTTATAGTTGTGTTCTCTGATGGCTCAGACAGTAAAACATCTGCCTACAATGCAGGAGACCCAGGTTCAATCCCTGGGTTGGGAAGATCTCCTGGAAAAGGAAATGGCAACCCACTCCAGTATTCTTGCCTGGAAAATCCCATAGAGAGAGGAGCCTGGTGGGCTACAGTCCATGGGGTCACAAAGAGTCGGACAGGACTGAGCAACTTCACTTTCACTTTCATTTTTCTACAGAATGATTTCTATGGAATCACTTTGAAGGTTATGTATGATGAAATTGATACCAAGAAAATTTGGATAATCAGAGGAAATTTAACAAAGTGGTATATTCTGTTCAAAATATCTATTTACTTATGATTACTTTCAACTACTTACTGAGTGAATCATCTGATGAAAATAGTTTTCTTTTTCTCTTTAGTAAATCTTCATGATCAAAAATGGGTCCCTATTAAACAAATAAACATTTATAACAAAATTACAATCACTGTTTAGAGCAAAAAGAACATTTTCCTAGCTGATTTCTTTAGGAGTCACTATAAGATTACTGGGCTTCCCTGGTGGCTCAGTTGGTAAAGAATCCACCTGCAATGCAGGAGACCCTGGTTCAATCCCTGGGGCGGGAAGATCCCCTGGAAAAGGAAATGGCAACCCACTCTAATATTCTTGCCTGGGAAATCTCATGGACAGTGGAGCCTGGCCGGTTACAGTCCATAGGGTTGCAAGACTTGAACACAATTTAGTGACTAAGCCACTACCACTGTAAGATTATTATTAATAGCTAAAGTATTCATGGAACCAAGCCACACCATAAGACATAGACCTAGTCTGTGCTCCACAGACATGATACTCTACAAAGAAAAAAGAATATAACTATTTAAAAGTGTAAAGAGCACATATATGCCCCAGACATGCTCAAGTCTACAAACAGAAATTCAAAATAGCATACGCACGCATGTATGCACAGACACACAGACACATATGCATATGTGTGTATGTATGTGTGTGTATATATATATATATATATATATATAGTGGCTCAGCTGGTAAAGAATCTGCCTGCAATATGAGAGAGACCTGGGTTCAATACCTGGGTTGGGAAGATCCCCTGGAAAAGAGAAAGGCTACCCACTCCAGTATTCTGGCCTGGAGAATCTGACAGGACTGAGCAACTTTCACTTTCACTTTCATATACATAGAGAGAGACAGCATTTTCACACATTAGGGAATTTCTGTATCTAGTTTTGACACACAATTTCAGTTATTAAAAGAATGCCAAACAAGATATACAACATTTAACTACAGCTTTTACAATATAACTTACCAATGAACTGGAATGTCTTTGCAAATTTGGTGAGCAACGTTGCAAGGCAGGATCTCGGTAAAACTCTCCCACGCTAATTGAATTTGATTTCTTTTTCACAAGAAATGAGCCTTCACTTCCTATTTTTAAACAATAACATAAAGAAAAGTAAAAAATGCTTTTAAAATTATGGACTTTCAAGAAAATAAGGATCAATGCTGTTATATTTTAAGGATAAATAGTGTACAGCCACTTTTGAGAACCATGCTATTTTAAATTCTACCACTCTTTATCTTTGAAGCATAAAAACTGTGTCAAAACAAACTGTAAAATTTACCTAACCAAAAATCAATTCATTTTACAGTTGCATTTCTGATATTATCCTTTATTTTAAAACACTTAAAGAGAATTCTTCTTTCAGCCCTGATGATATAACAAACACTGAACTTAACCTCCCCACAACAAATAACTAGGAAGTTGGGCAATTTTTAAAAAATAATTGGTTTCAGACATGGGCTTCCCAGTAGCTCAGTGGTAAAGAATCTGCCTGCCAAAGCAGGAGATGTGGGTTTGATCCCTGGGTTGGGAAGATCCCCTGGAGAAGGGAATGGCAACCTACTCCAGTATTATTGCCTGGGAAATCCATGGACAAAGGAGCCTGGTGGGCTACAGTCCATGGGATCACAAAAGAACAAGACACAACTTAGCTACTAAACAACAGGCTAACTTAGAAGCGTTCTAGAATCAGTTGGATACCTAAGGTTCCTTGACCAAACTTCCTTTGGGCTTCCCAGATGGTGCCTGCCAATGTAGGGGATGCAAAAGACACAGGTTCAATCGCCTGGAGTAGGAAATGGCAACCCATTCCAGTATTCTTCTCTGGAAAATTCCACGGACAGAGGAGCCTGGTGGGCTACAGTCCATGGGGTCACAGAGTCGGATACAACTGAGTGACTGACCACACACACACACACACACACACACACACACAGATATTGGGCTGCAGACAGTGTAGGACTGTGTAATCCCTGAAAGAATGAAAACAAATTATATGAACCTTTCAGGCAACCTAGCTTCCTGCCTGTAGGCAATTTAAGGGCTATAGGCAGTGAAAAGGAATTTAAACAAAGCCCAGTGGCCTTCCTGAGATGAGGAAATGGAGATCAGTGTTCATGGAGATTAACTTGGATGGGAGTTGCAAGGTAGACTCATGGACAGAAAGGAAAACAAATGAAGCAAAAACCCGATTCTTTGAAAAAGATCAATAAAATTGATAAATCTTAAGTGAGACTAAAGAAGGGAAAAAAAGAAAGACAAAAACTATCAATGTCAAGAATTAAAGATCAGATATCACTAATGATCATATAAACATTGGCAGGATAACAGAATTATTATAAATATCATTAAACAAACTGGTAACATATAAAGAGGACAGATTTCTTGAAAGTTTCTAATTATAAAAACTGACAAAAGAAATAATAGAAAATCAAAATAACCATAAATTGATAACTTTTATAATTAAATATATTCCCCCTCTGCACCATAAATATATTCCTAACAAACAAGGCTTTACTAATGAATTCTACTAAACATTTAAGAATAAGACCTCTCCTACAAAAAAACTTTCAGAAAACAGTGGAGTCAGGAGCAATTTTCAATTCATTTCAAGAAGCTAGCATTACTCTCATAGTTACAAGGAAACAAAACTACAGACCAATATCCTTCACAGACACAATATCCTTAATGAAATTTTAGAAAATCAAATTAAATAATATTTTAAAAGAATGACACACCATAGCCAAGTGAGATGTATCCCAGAAAAACATGTTTGGTTTAACATGAGAAAACCATGGTAATAAACTAAATAACAGAATTAAAGGAGAAAATATGCCCATTGTAACAGATGCAGAGAAGCATTTTCCAACACCCATTATGATAAAAAGTCTCAGCAAATAATTACTAGAAATGAGCTTCCTCAACTTGATGAAGAGTATCTATTAAAAAAAAAAGATAACATCATACTTAATGATGAGACACTGAATGCTTTCCCTCTAAGTTTGGAAACCAGGGAACAATGCCTACTCTTACCACTTCTATTCAACATAATACTAAAGATCCTAGCAGTGCAACAGAACATGGAAACATTTTAAAAGACAGATTAGAATGGAAGAAATAAATCTTTTTTAGCAAGTGGCATTGTGAACATAGAAAAAAATCTATGGAGTCAACAAAAAGCTATTAGAACTCATGAGTTTTGCAAGTCCACAGAATACATTAATGTACAAAGAAATCAACCACATTTCTGTAAACCAGCAGTGAATGAATTATTGGAAATGAATTTAAAAACAATACTATTTATAACAGCATCAAAAAACATGCAATACAAAACACTGGAAGGAGAAATTTAATACAAATAAACAGAAATAAATACTACACATATATCTCAGGAGACCCATTAAAACATCAGTTCTCTCATTTATTTATAAATTTAATCTAAAGAAATTTTTATTGATGTTAACTCTGTATTATATAATGATAATATATTATTTATACATTAATTTTATATTAAATGTAGATTCAATTGTAATAAAAATCCCAGCATAAAATTAATTGATTCAAAATGTAATATATGGAAATGCAAACAAGCTAGTATAATAAGAACAATTTTCAAAAAGAATACCACCAGAGAACTTATACTACCAGATTTTAAGACCTGCTTTTAAGCTAAAGTAGTCAAGAGAGTGTGGCTCTGGATAATGATCTAAATCAATTGTACGGAATAAAGAATGCATAAATAGAACAACATTTATATGGTCAATTAAATTAGACAAACATGCCATTAACTCAACAAGGAAATAAAGTATATTCAACAAATTATATTAAAACAACTGAATATCTAGTGGAAAAAAGTACATGTCAATTCTTCACTAATACTATATACCAAAATTAACTTAAAATGGACTTAGACCTAAAGGTAAAAGCTAAGATTTTCATACTTCTATAAGAAAACACAGGAGAAAATATTCACAAATTTGAGATAGGAAAAGATTTCTTAAATCTTTTAAAAACAACACAAATCAAAAAAGAAAAAACTGAAACACTGCAGTTTTTAAAATTTAACAATTCTGCTCTTTGAAAAATATCAATAAAATAAAAAAGACAAGCTATAACTGATAGAAAATATTTATAGTTCATATATCTGTCAAAGGACTTCTACTAAGAACATATAAAGAACTCTTATAATAACATAATAAGACAATAACACAACTAAAAATTAACAATGATCTGAACAGACACTTGGCAAAGAAAATATATGTATGGTCAACAAGACCATGAAAATAATCTCAGTATCAGTAGTTTTCAGGGAAATGAAAATTAAGACCAAATGTGCTAGGACTACACCCTCAGTAGAAATGGCTAAAATTAAACTGACTACAATACTAAATGATATAGTGTGATGAACATTTAGAGAAGCTAGAATTTTCGTATATTGCTGATGGGGGAGTATAATATGGTATAACCACTTCAGAAAACAGTCAGAGATAAATAGATATCCTATTTATATGAAAGTTGAGAAAATACTAATTTAGCATACTGTGACAGAAAGCAGACCAGAGGTAGGGGGCAGGTTTGTTGTGAAGAGGCATGTAAAGGGACTTTTTTGGATGACAGAAATGTTGCATAACTTAATGGTGGTGATGATTACACGGATATATAAATGAAAATATACACTTAAAATGTGCATATTTTACTTTACGCTAATTATGTCACAATAAAGCTGGTTTCTAAAAATACTTGAACTTGAGACATGAAATTTTTGGAATAATCCTTACTTATCACCTTCTCAAATACGTTTATTCTATCACCCAAAGTTTTCAATCATATTAATCATACTATTTTTAAAAAAATCACCTCACCCAATTTTTACCAAACTGCATTCTGTTAAATGACAGCATTAATCGCTGTCATTAATATCATGCCATGTCAACTTTTTATCTCATTAATTATTAAAGTATTATTTTTAATTCTAATAAATATAAAAATATTTATGATGTACTTCTTATTTGCAAGTGTCTCTTAGACACTTTACACATTTTTCCAAATTCCTATAAATAATCCTGGAAGGTTAGCAACACTACCTTTAATAAGGGTAACAGGTTTACACAAACCAGAAAAGGCTCTAGGCAGTGATGGAATATGAAATCCAACTCAAGTCTGAGTCAGTGTTTTCACTGCAACAGCCACCATTCACTGATTTGGGGGAGTACAATAACACTTAAAAATGTAGAGATATATTTTCTTCATTGCCTCAACTAACGGTTGAGTAACAGTAAGCAGTAACTAATGAATACAATTTTCCTCAAGTTTTTCCAAATGAAGTAAATCAGGTTTTTGTCTCAATTTGCATTGTTCCATGCCAGAGTGTGTGTGTGTGTGTGTGTGTGTGTGTGTGTGTGTATACACATATATATATGTGTGTATATATATATATATATGTATATATATATACATTAGTGCATAAAGGGAACAATTGTTTTGAAATAGTCACCTTCACTATCCAGGTCATCACTTTGACCAAACACACTGTCAATGTAAGACTCAGGAATGAAGGTCCATTCATCAAATTTATCAACCATTTCTTCAGAAAAATTCCCATTGCTTCCTGAGCCAGCTCCTTCCTCCACAGAACTTCTCATCTGATATCTGAGCACCATCCTTGCCAGGGTGGATCCTATATCTAAAAATAAAGATATATCAACAACTTCTTAGAAATCAGTAATTACACAAATATAAACATATCAAAGTTCCTTATATAGTTTCCTACTGTTAAGAGAAATTTTGATTCTTACTTTCAAATCACTTTACAATCTTAATATTCTATAAAGTAGCAGGTAATAAACTTAAATTTTTTAAAAGTCATAAAAATTTACACAAAGCTTTCATGTCGGTGACAAAACTGAACCAATATAAAACTAACTTGACTCTTGAAGGGGCCTGGACTTTGAAGCCTGACAGGCCTGCGTTCAAGTTACTTGCAAGTTGTACAAGCTGCCTGAATATCAGTGTCCTAATTGGGAAGTGAAGACAACAGTACATATAGCACAGGATTACAGAAAAAATTAAAGAAAATGATGCACATGCAGTTTTTAGAATAATACTTTGGACACAGAAGATAATAAATGATATTCTTATTTTTATAAACTATTTGCCAAGTGATTCATTCTACTAAGAAATTTGATAAAATTTCAAAATTAACTTGCTAAGATTTATTGAATTTTATATTAAGTGCTATAATGAATAAATAAGTTGACATAGTTCTCATTGTCCTAAATATATCCTGGAAATTTTCTTCAAATATTACTCTTATAGCTCACATTACAACATGTGTACATAATTCAGTCAAGTACTACCTGGAAAATACTTTAAAGCTTGGAATTCAAAATGTTTTTTACTCAGACCAGCTGTCAAAAAAATTAAGGCTATGCCCTGCAATATTAGGAAAGACTTGTCAGTACTTGTAAAACATTTCATATAGAACCAAAAGAATACAGTGAATGTAAACCTCCCTTCGTATCTTCAGAGAGTCCTCAATTCCTTTCCATCAGAAAACAAGATTAAAGTTAAGTAGGTTGTTGGCATGAGACTGGCTGAAGTGACAAAACATGGAATCTAATCATGTCTCATTAGTTTCCAAGGTCCCCAAAGGCAATCAGAGAATCCATTTCTGGATTTTTTTCCAGACATATTATTCTCATATTCAAAATTTATGGCTACCACATCCCAACTGTTTTCACCAATACTATTAATAAAAAAAAAAAAACACTGTTCTCTGCTTTTTTCCCCCTTAAGAATACATTCTATCTCTGGACATTTGGATTTGCAATGTGCTTTTCTCTCAGTGATTGCAAAGCATTACACTGTATGAATATATCAATTTATTATTAATTTGAATAGTTTCTTTGGGAAATATTTAATTTTTTCCTAATTTTTTTGTCATTATGAACAATATTTTAATGTGCATCATTGAACATAATTTTTTGTGCACATTAAGAATGCTGTATCATGGATTCTTATCACTACATTATTTGATCAAAAAAGTACATTTGTTGTTCAGTCACTCAGTCACGTCCTTCTCTTTGCAACTCCATGGACTGCAGCAGGCCAAGCTTCCCTGTTCACCATCTCCCAGAGCTTGCTCAAATTCCTGTCCATTGAGTTGGTGATGCCTTTCAACCATCTCGTCCTCTGTCGTCCCCTTCTCCTCCTGCCCAGTCTTTCAAAGCAACAGGGGCTTTTCTAATGAGTCAGCTTTTCACTCCAGGTGGGCAAAATATTGGAGCTTCATAATCAGTCCTTCCAATGAATATTCAAGACTGATTTCCTTTAGGATTGACTGGTTTGATCTCCTTGCACTCAAGTCTTCTCCAACAACACAGTTCAAGAGTATCAATTCTTTGACACTCAGCCTTCTTTATGGTACAAATCTCACATCCATACATGACTACTGGAAAAACCAAAGCTTTGACTAACAGACTTCTGTTGGAAAGTAATGTCTCTGCTTCTTATTTAATATTCTGTCTAGCTTTATCACAGCTTTTCTTCCAAGGAGCAAGCGTCTTTTAATTTCATGGCTACAGTCACCATCTGCAGTGATGTTGGAGCCCAAGAAAATAAAGTCTGTCACTGTTTCCACTGTTTCGCCGTTTTTTGCCATGAAGTGATGGAACTGGATGCCATGATCTTTGTTTACTGAATGCTGAGTTCTAAGTCAGCTTTTTCACTCTCCTCTTCCACCTTCATCAACAGGCTCTTTAGTTCCACTTTGCTTTATGCCATAAAGGTGGTGTCATCTCCGTATCTGAGGGTATGGATATTTCTTCTGGCAATCTTGATTCCAGCATGTGCTTCAACAAGCCTGGAATATCATATGATATACTCAGAATATAAGTTAAATAAGCAGGGTGACAATATACAGCCTTGACATACTCCTTTCCCAATTTGGAACCACTCCATTGTTCCATTTCCGATTCTAACTGTTGCTTCTTCACCTGAATACAGATTTCCAGGAGGCAGGTAGGGTGGTTTGGTAGTCCCATCTCTTGAAGAATTTTCCACTGTTTGTTGTGATCCACACGGTCAAAGGCTTTCATGTATTCAATGAAGCAGAAGTAGATGCTTTTCTGGAATTCTCTTGCTTTTTTATGATTCAGGGGATGCTGGCAATTTGATCTTTGGTGCCTCTGCCTTTTCTAAATCCAGCTTGAACATCTGGAAGTTCTCCGTTCATGTACTTTTGAAGACTAGCTTGGAGAATTTCACCTGCTACATTGCTGTGTGTGGCAGCTGTGTGGCAACACACAACTTGTGTGGCAGTTGGAACATTCTTTGGCATTGCCCTTCTTTGGGATTGGAAAGAAAACTGACCTTTTTCAGTCCTGTGGCCCCTGCTAAGTTTTCCAAACTTGATGGCATATTGAGTGAAGCACTTTCACAACATCATCTTTTAGGATTTGAAGTAACTGGGTGGGAATTCCATCACCTCCACTAGTTTTGTTCATAGTGATGCTTCCTAAGGCCCACTTGACTTCTCACTTCAATATGCCTTGCTCTAGGTGAGTGATCACAGTCCTGCGTTTTGGACTCTTGTTGACTATGAGGGCCACTCTGTTTCTTCTAGGGACTCTTGCCCACAGTAGTAGGTATGATGGTCATCTGAAGTAAATTCACCCATTCCAGTCCATTTTAGTTCACTGATTCCTAAAATGTCCATTTTTTAAAATTACATGTACTTTTAAAAAGGACATGGATGTACATTTAAAATATTAATGCTGTTGTTCAGTCACCAGGTCGTGTCAGACTTTTTGCAACCCCTTGAATTGCAGCACGCCACACTTCCCTGTCCTTCACTAAGTCTGTAGTTTGCTCAAACTCATGTCCATTAAGTCTGTGATGCCATCCCCTCCATCCATGGAATTCTCCAGGCAAGAATACTGGAGTAGGCAACCATTTTCTTCACCAGGGATTCAATCCAGGACTCAAACTTGGGTCTTCTGCATTGCAGGTGGATTCTTTACCATCTGAGCCACCCGGAAGCGCCATAACACTAATGGACATTACCAAATTTTCCTTACAAAAGGATAACTTGAATTTATATCAATAATATGTGACATGCCTGCTTCCACCTATGCTTATCAACATAATTTATAACCAAATTTTTCTATTGAAATGCACTTATTATAGATACTAATGATAACTGTCATCAACATACTTACTACATACAAGACCTATATTAACTAGAAAACACATCCTTAAGTGAAATGCAAAGTATACTAACTTGAAAACGCAAAGTACATGTGTATATTTCTACACATATATTTTAATTCATATGTAAGTGTACAGCAAGTCCAGGGGAAAAAATAATCTACATTGATTACCTATAGGTAAAACAGTAAGTTACTGTTATTTTCTTCCTTATGCTATTTAAGTTTTTCTATTTTTAAAGGCACATAGATTATTTTATAATAAAAACTAAAATACTTAACAAAGAAAAGTAACCTCACAGAAAGATCTCAGTTTTAATTTATCTTTATAAATATGGATTTGCTGGGTCATAAGGAACTTAAATATAATGTCAATTTCAGCACTGAATGATCAAAAAAAGGAAAAAAGCCAAGCCTTTACAATATTTTTGACTTAAGTTGCAACAAATGGAATGAAAACTAAAAGATTAGTGATTTCTAAAAATACTACTAAAATTAAACCTTCTACAAAACTTGCTTGAAAATCCTTACTTGTCTCTTTTCTTAAATAAGATGTCTTATCTGGAAATAAAGGACCAAGCCAGGAAGGTTCAATTTTTCCCATACAAAATCCTCCAAGACAGATGCTATTATTGGCCAGATCCAGGGCAAGCCTCCTCAAGAGTAAGCTGATGATTTGGCTGTTGCCTTTCCCAATGCTGATTGTCAGAGCTTTCCGGACATCCTGCTCACGAGATCCACTATTCAGTAACAATTCTACCAGTTTGGGATTGCTTGCTTTCTCACATACCTATTAAAGAAAAAGAGAAGGTAAGCATATATATTTTTTTTAAATCATTTTCCTTTATAATACTGGTAAGTAAACTTGGTGTGACTTTCCCCTGCATCTTTAAATTTTCAGTTCAGTTGCTCAGTCGTGTCTGACTCTTTGCAACCCCACTGACACCAGGCTTCCCTGTCCACCACCAACTCCTGGAGCTTGCTCAAACTCATGTACATTGAGCTGGTGATGCCATCCAACCATCTCATCCTCTGTTGCCCCCTTTTCCTCTGTCTACAATCTTTCCCAGCATCAGAGTCTTTTCCAATGAATCAGTTCTTCATTCAAGTAGCCAGACTTTTGGAGCTTCAGAATAAGTCCTCCCAATGAATATTCAGGACTGATTTCCTTTAGGATTGAGTAGTTTGATCTCCATGCTGTCCAAGGAGCTGTCATGAATCTTCTCCAACACCACAGATCAAAAGCAGCAATTTTTCAGTGCTCAGCTTTCTTTATGGTCCAACTCTCACACCCATACATGACTACTGGGAAGACCACAGCTTTGTCTATATGGATCTTTGTTGGTAAAGTAATGTCTCTGCTTTTTAATATGCTGCCTAAGTTTATCATAGCTTTTCTTCCAAGGAGCAAGCATCTTTTAATTTCATGGCTGCAGTCACCATCTGCAGTGATCTTGGAGCCCTAGAAAAGAAAGTCTGTCACTGTTTCCATTGTTTTCCCATCTATTTGCCATGAAGTGATGAGACTGGATGCCATGATCTTAGTTCTTTGAAAGTTGACTTTTAAGTCAGCTTTTTCACACTATTTTTTCACTTTCATCAAGAGGCTCTTTAGTTCCTCTTCGCTTTCTGGTCTTTAGATTTAGAATGGAACAAAATAAGGCAGAACTCATTCTTGAAGTAAATTAGGAAAATAAAGTAAGATTAGCACCACAAATATCAGAGAAGCATAAATTAAATCTGCCATGTGAAAGCCACTTACCATGAAAAAAACAACATGATACGAAGTAAAACTTACAGGCTTGAAGTCAAAATACCTGAGGCTCCATCAATTTACACATTTCTCACACTTTTTGGACTTGTTTGCTTATTGGAAGATATCTGGGAAACTGGTACCTTAACATAGCAAATGCGATTTCATTTACTTGGCAAATGCCTTGCCTTCATTTGTGACATAGAATAACTAAGTTTGAATATAAATATTATTAAATTCACGAATGTCACATGCCAACGACAGTCATCAGTCACTGGTTTTCCAGGACAAGAATTTGAATTTCTACAAAGATATATGTTGTCTCTCAGTTTTCGACCTTTCCCTGAAAGTTATGTTTTCAGAGCATATCCTCAAGGTGGGTTAACATGGTAACTGCTAGAAAAACTCAAGTGACCATAGTAAGCAGAGAGAAGCCTTAGCAACCTGCAGCATAGCACACTGGCCCAACCCCAGCAAACGCTTCTGAAAGGCAATAGAATATGATGTTATCAACTACAAGAATGAAATCATAAATAATGAAATGATGATGTCAGGTATTGTGCTACCTTCTGTAAACAAATGATCTCCAATTATTTTTTTTAAAAAGCTATGCCATAAAAATATTACTTCCATTTTATAGATGAATATTTAGGAAAAATATGTGATTTGTCCAAAATCTTAGAGCTACTTAATAAGACACTTGGATTTGAAATCACATCTGCAGATGCCAAAGCTTGTGGTCCTTTCACAACCTAATACTAATGATTTTAAAAAAAGAAAGAAATATCTATTTAGGTTTTCTGTCCATTTTTTAATTGAGTTGTTTGTTTTGATGATATTAAGTTTCATGAGTCATTTTTGTAAATTTTAGAAAAATGGGCAGAAGACCTAAATTGACCTTTCTCCAAAGAAAACATACAGACAGTCAAGAGACACATGAAAAGATGTTCAGTATGTTAAACTAATCCTGAAATGCAAAGCAAGACTACAATGAGGTATCACCTCACAATGGTCAGAATGGCTATCATCAAAAGATCCACAGAAGATGACTTCCCTGGTGGTTCAGGAGTTCAGTGGTTAGGAATCCACCTGCTAAGGCAGGGAATGTGGGTTTGATCCCTGGTCTGGAAGATTCCACACGCCTTGGGCCACTAAGCCCATGCACCCCAACTGCTAAAGCCTACATGCCCTACAGCTCATGCCCTGCAACAAAAGAAGCCACCACAATAAGTCCACACACCACAACTAGAGAGTAGCCCCACGTGCTGTTACTAGAGAAAGCCCATGTGCAGCAACAAAGGCAGCCAAAAATAAACAAATAAATATATTCTTTTTAATCCACAAACAGTAAATGCTGGAGAGAGTATGGAGAGACGGGAACCCTCTTACGCTGTTGGTGGGAATGTAAATTGGTGCCGGCACTGTGGAAAATAGTATAGAGGTTCCTTAAAAAACTAAAAATAGAGCTACCATGTGATCCTGCAATCCCACTCCTAGGCATAAACCCATGAAAAACATGGTACAAAAGGATATATGCACCCCAGTGTTCATTGCAGCACTGTTTACAGTAGTCAAGACATGGAAGCAACATAAATGTCAATCAACAGAGAAGAGGATAAAGAAGTTGTGGTACATATATATGTTGGCATATCGCTCAGCCATTAAAAAGAACAAAATAATGCCACTTGCAGTAACAGGAATGGACCTAGAGACTGTCATACAGAGTGAAAGTTGGACAGAGAAAGAGAAATATTGTATGATATCATTATATGCAGAATCCCCCCCAAAAAAATACAAATTAACTAATTTACAAAACAGAAACAGACTCATAGACTTAGAGAACAAATTTACAGTTACCTGGGGAGGAAGGATAATTAGGGAGTTTGGTATTGACTGTACATATTGCTATAGTACTTAAATAACCAAAAAGAATCTACCATATTAAAAATAAATGGAGAAGGGATGTGAGAATGATACAGACAAGATGAGATTAGACATGCATTGATAATTCTTGAAGATAACTGATGGATTCGCAGGGATTTATTACACTACTCCTTCCACTTTGGTGTATGTTTAAAATTTTCCATAACAAAAAAAAGCTTAAAAAAATAAAAATTAGTTTTAAAAGTGATTGTTTTTTTAAGGCAGGAGCAGAGATTAATCAGAGGTGATGGTGCCCGTGGGCCAAATCTGTCTCTTCCCACCCTTCCAACCACCAGAGAAACCAGTGGTTGAACCTTGAGGCTGGCACCATCCAATGTGGTCTATTGTGTGCCCAGTCGCTCAGCCGTGTCCGACTCTTTGAGAACCCACGCACTGTAGCCCGCCAGGCTTCCCTGTCCATGGGAATTCACCAGGCAAGAATACTGGAGTGGATTGCCATGCCCTTCTCAAGGGAATCTTCCCAAACCCAGGTCTCCCACGTTACAGGTAGATTCTTTACAGTCTGAGCCACCAGGCAAGCCTGATGTGGTCTATTAAGCACTTGAAAATTTGCTGTAAGTGTCAGATGAGCTGATAAGAGTAAAATACCCACTGGATTTTGAAGACCTGGTATTTTAAAATGTAAAATATCTCATTAATAATCCTTATACTGATCATATGCTGAGTATTTTGGATATATCACAAACTCATTTAGTAATATTTTGAATATATTGATTAAGTGAAATATATCATTAAAACTCTAAATAAATAAAAGGAAAGATCCTAATATTCAGGGTACCAGGTGGGGGGAAAAGTTGGTTGAGGGAAATTACTGAATTCTTCAGAATTAACATGTGTCTGAACACATTTTGGGGCTCCAAAATCACTGCAGATGGCGACTGCAGCAATGAAATTAAAAGATGCTTGCTCCTTGGAAGAAAAGCTATCACCAACCTAGACAGCATATTAAAAAGCAGAGACATTACTTTACCAACAAAGGTCCATCTAGTCAAAGCTGTGGTTTTTCCAGCAGTCATGTATGGATATAAGAGTTAGACCATAAAGAAAGCTGAGCACCAAAGAATTCATGCATTTGAACTGTGGTGTTGGAGAAGACTCTTGAGAGTCCCTTAAACTGTAAGGAGATCCAACAGGTCAATCCTAAAGGAAATCAGTCCTGAATATTCATTGGAAGGACTGATGCTGAAGCTGAAATTCTAATATTTTGGCCATCTGATGCAAAAAACTGACTCACTGGAAAAGACCCTGATGCTGGGAAAGACTGAAGGTGGGAGGAGAAGGGAATGACAGAGGATGAGATAGTTGGATGGCATCACTGACTCGATGGACATGAGTTTGAGCAAGTTCTGGGAGTTGGTGATGCACAAGGAAGCCTGGCGTGCTGCAGTCCATGGGGTCACCAAGAGTTGGACATGACTGAGTGACTGAACTGAACTGAACATGTGTCCAAGAAGTTTGAGGGGACAGTGTTCCAGTTTGATGGAACCAACTAAATGCCCACCAGCCTTCAGGAATACCCCCATCTTCAATCTGTTCTCCCAAGAACCACTATAGTACTTTTCTAGTATAGATATGATCAAGTCATTGTACTATTTTAAAATCTTCTAAAACCTTTTTGCTCCAGGACACTCCGTTAAATACAACAAGCAATTTTTCAAACCTCATTTATGCTATTTTTATAGCCTCCAATGTCTAATTTTGTTCTTCATCCAGAAAAAAAAATATTCATTCTTGAAGGAATAGCTTTAAAGTCTCTTGCACTAAGTCCTCGCTATAACCTCCCAGGCTACACACCCTTCCTCCTCAAGAGCCCATCCCATTTTGTTTAACACAGCACTTAGCACACTGAACTAGACATGTTTATCTGTTTGGTAACTGGAATGAAAGGCATGGATGCTGCTGCAATTCAATTTGCACCTCTGTAACCTAGCACAACGCCTACACAATATATTTAACTTAGCGAATTACTAAAATCTGCAGGAGTCTGGCAGGCTACAGTCCATGGTTGTTTAACACAGCACTTAGCACACTGAACCAGACATGCTTATCTGTTTGGTAACTGGAATGAAAGGCATGGATGCTGCTGCAATTCAATTTGCACCTCTGTAACCTAGCACAACGCCTACACAATATATTTAACTTAGCAAATTACTAAAATCTGCAGGAGTCTGGCAGGCTACAGTCCATGGGGTCACAAAGAGTCAGACACAACACAGTGACTGAAAAACAACAAAATCCACTAAGGGCCCACAGGAAATTTTAAAGGAAGGAAGGAAAGGAAGAAGGGAGGGAAGGAGTGGCCAAAAAAACTCAATCACAAATGCCTTCTCTTGGGGTCCAGCAGACTTTTCTCTCTAAATTATGGTATTTACTGCCTACCTTCTATTAAGGTGATTTATGTTTTACTCCCTTAACTCCCAATTGGCCCTTTGAAACTACGTTGAAGCAGGACACCCCTTTTATATTCTTTACTAATTATCTAGCACTGTGCTTTCCACAGAGAAGATGCTCAATAGATTTTATAGCAGAATTTTCCTTGGGGGACCCAAACTATCCAAGATGATTTCTGACATATGGTGACATGAATAGAGAAATATTTGTCTATTATAACACGCAAAAGAAATAAAATAAAATTAGGAAAATAATTCATGAAAGGGAAAAAAAAAATACTGCTCAGATACCCTGGTGCTCAAACAGTAAAAGAATCTGCCTGCAATGTCAGAGACCAAGGTTCGATCCCTAGATCAGGAAGATCCCGGGAGAAGGAAATGGAAACCCACTCCAGTATCCTTGTCTGGAGAATCCCATGGACAGAGGAGCCTGGAGGGCTACAGTCCATGGGGTCTCAAAGAGTCGGACACGACTGACAGACCAACACTTTCATACACAGTTCTGTATTTTAATAATGGGGATAATTCAAATATATATAATCAAAGTGCAATTTACTATCCTTTCCCATACATCTTCTCTCTCTATTCTAATTGATAAATAATACAGCTCACAATCAAAGCCAAGCACTTTAGGCTAGCATTCAAGAATGAATGTACAACCCTCTCCCCTACCACCACCACTATCATGAATCTGTTATCTAAACAGGAGATCAAAGCAGGCACAAGATTTTCCACTAGTTACCTGGAAAGTTAGTTACTCCTCAGGCAAGTTACTTAACCTTTCTGTGCCTCAATTCCTCACATGCCTAATAAGATAATACTAGGCTACTCCTAAGGTTGTTGTCAGGATTTTATTAAGTAAAGGACTCAGAGGAGGGCCCAGGTGGCAATGAACACCACAGAAGAGCTTGCTGTTATTTTTATTCAGCATTCATTATACTTGCTCTTCCCACCATGACCTGATAAGTCTTATTTTCATGTCTCTCTTCATGCATTTTCATACCCAATATTAATCCTCCAAAAGCCTAATAAGATTAACTCCACCCTTAATAATGCAACATTGGTACCTGGATAAGCCTTGACTATGCTACTTTGTACAAAATAAGGTGTGTTCTAACAGTCTACCCACAAAAATCAATGTTTACTATTTGTTAGATATAAATAATCTCTGACAACCAGGATAAATTCCTTACATTTAAAGATCTGATTTTGTTTTAAGAAGAAAAGACAGAAATAAGCACATTAAGTTCAAAAGAACTTGGGAAGAAGAAAATAAAAAAGCCTTAGTACAGAAAGGTTTGAATTAATTGAGAGAAAAGTAGAAAGCATTCCCTGCGCAGAATGTAGAGTAACTGTACTTAAGGGCTTTTAGGTGAGTTGCTTCTCTATGAAGGACCTGGAGGAAGCTGCCTTTCAGTTCTCTGCCATATCCAAGTAACTTTAACATAATGATCTGAAGATCACACAAAAGAAATACAATAAAAACATTAAATTATTGAGGGAAATAATTTAATTATTACCTTTAATAACAGAGAAGCAACTATTTTCAGTGTTGCCTGCTTAGATGAAATTTGACTAAATTTAAATAATTTGATTATGCATTTGGCTTTAATGACTGAGTTAACTGCATGAAAACGAGTTACAGATTCAATTTCTTTTTATGTAGATTGCTAAGTAGTACTACCTTAATCTTACAGTTAACAAATTGGTTTGAACCTATAGGCAAGCAGGAAATTGAATAAAGTGAGGCTTTAAAAGTAAATTATTGAAAAACACATCACTCTGCTGGTTATTTAATAATATATATTTAGTTCAGTTCAGTCACTCAGTCATGTCCAACTCTTGGCAACCCCATGGACTGCAGCACGCCAGGCCTCCCTATCTATCATCAACTCCCAGAGCTTACTCAAACTNCACTTTCATCAAGAGGCTCTTTAATTCTTCTTTGCTTTCTGCCATAAGGGTGGTGTCATCTGCATATCTGAGTTTATTGATATTTGTCTCAGCAATCTTGATACCAGCTTGTGCTTCATCCAGTCAATAATGCATATTAAATTGCTACATAATTGCTTTGTTGGAAATATTATTATCCAGAAAATATACATAGGGCTACCTGAATACTACTGCAAACTCTAAAATTTATACAGTGAAGACAAACTAGAAATGACATGTAATGCACTCTGATATTTAATTGAATTCCTACTGTATGTACAAAAACAGTGAGTTAGATATTCTGAATGATACACAGATGAACACTGTAGATCTCTACCTTCACACAACTCACAAACTATAAAGAGGTGTACAAAAAGTGTCATGGACTTACACAGCAAGTAAATCTTTATTTCGTATGGAGGTCAGGAAGTGTGGGAAGAGCTTTATTAAGGACAAATAATTTGGTTTACATTTTGAAGGCAGAGCAGAAGAATTAGACAGATGTGTTTGTGCAGTGCATGAGGGAAGGGAGAGAAGGAAGGCAGGGCCACAGTGCCACTCAACTGCAGGATGGCCCCTAGCAGGAATGTCAATGTGGACAGACCCCAAAGCGTGCAGTGCACAGCCTACGGGGCCACCTGTGGTGGCCCTGAGGGCAGAACTTTCTAGACAGAGAAGTTGAAAACAGAAAGAAAATACTTAAAAGATGACTCAAAACAAAATAAAACTGTGTGGTGTGTCCCTGGAGAGTGATTCACACAGAGATGCACAGTAGGAGACACATTTAAAGGTTATTTATCATCTTAACAAAGTAGGTAAACATGTAAAGGGAATGATTAGATGATAATACCTAAAGAAATACGCTATTTCTGAAACTCTATGAATCTAAATTCTACTACAAATTACAAGCAATTGTGCCATAAACTGCTAAATTCTGTAGTGAAGACTCATACAATGTAGGTAAGAGCTATACAATAGCAGGGTCATAGAAAAAAAGACAAAAGTGAATCTTTGAATATTTACCTGACATATCAAAGAAGTTGCTTCTTTTGCTCGATTGGCATCCGCTCCCAACAGAAGCAAGCATTCAACCATGATGCTATTATTCTGATCACATGCTTTCTCCAGCAACACACATTTTAACTCATTATCAATAGTCAATTTTGCAAAGCACTTGCAACAAAGGTTTAGAAACTAAAAAGAATGGAAGTGAGGATTAGAGTCAGTGAAATGTGTAACAGTTAGAATACAGATAAAAAACACTGTACCTGTTGATCCTTTTGCTCCATGATACTGGAGGACAACTGATGGAATATTACTGAATCAAAGCAGTGATGCACCAGTAGCTTGGAAAAAGACACTGACAATTCCAGTATTGTCAAGACTGTTTGAAATCCCTGAAAGTGTGACCAAAAATAATAATAACAAGGTAATTATGGACAAAAAAGAATAAACAAATGATATAAAAGAGAGACTATATGCGGTACTTAAAACTTGGGGTGTTCACTTAGCTAAGTAGATACATTTATTGGACTTGTACTTTAAAGCTGTAAACTTTGAAATAATGTGATAAATACACTTTGCGCTCTCATTACTAAGAAATAAGAAGATGCACACAGAGAATAAAGATGCTAAACTCTAGTCTGGCCAAACAGGAAAAAAACCTAAAACACCTAATTCACCAAAATTTGGTATTTAAGGATTCCTTGCCTAAAGCCATACCTACAGGTTGGAAGTTAGATATTAATCAGGATTAGAACAGCAGAGTCAGCAGTGCCACAAACCCAAATAGATCAGTGACTTGAGTTCTTTAATACAACACTGCAGATCAGGTTCTGTAGAGAGCCTAGCACTTCCCCCAACAATTTTTTGTGTTATCTTCTGAAATTTTAATCTCAGACAAATGTGAGCTCCTAGACTGTGTTCTTCTTGAGTACATTTTAGAAAAGCTCTAAAGACACTCTGAGATTTACATCCTTTTAGCAAATCATTTATAAGGAACTGATCGGACACACCATTATATTTTAGAACCACTCAAAGAGTTGTCTAGGCTCTATTTATGTGATGTTTTAAAGAAAGAATGAAGTTTAGACTTGCCTATTACATACATTGAGTGCATTCACCAAAGATCAGTTTTACTTTTAAAATTTTTATCTTTCCAAAATATATTAATGAGATCATCTAAATGTTAAAAATTATTATTTTGAGTTCTTAAGACGCTGTTTCTATAAATGCTTCTATAAATGCTTCCTAACATTTCTATAAATGCTTCCTAACATTTGCAACAGCAAAGCAGATAATACAAACACAGAGAAGGCATATAATTCAAACTCAAACTTACAAGCACTGAACTGGTCAAATAAAGTATGTTGGCAGGCAAAATTTAGCCCACTGGTCAACAATTTACAACCTCTACATAAAAATTTTAAAATTTATGCCCAGATGAATAAATACTGAGTGAGAGCTTCATACCTGCACAAAATAATTTACTTTACCTCGCATTATTTACAATTAATTCTGTCTTGGCTTTAGTCAACCTAGGTTCAGGCACATTACAGAAAACCAAAACCCATTGTTGGCTCTAATCTAAGAATGCTATATGTTCAGCACTTTATAATTTAAAAACTTACATGCATTTTCCCATTTACTAATAATATTTGTGCAAAAATCAGAGCTTAGACATTTTCACTCCTGGTCAGTGCTGCCATTTTTGAAAATATTTGCTGAGTATGGTTTATGAAAGTTGTAAACTTCATTACCAAAAACACTACAACCAAGTCAGAAATTCTTAAAAAACAAACAAACTTGTTTTGTTAACATTAAAATAAAAGGACTCTGAAATAATTTACTACTTCATCTTCCCTGAATTAATCCTAAACCAATATCTTGGATTCCTCATAGACAGCTAATATAGATTGCATTTTAAATTTTGCTTAATGAAGAACGTTTAAAATATTGTTTCACTGCAAGAACAAAATTAAGGGGAAAAATTACTAAGTAAGCAGCTCAAATAAAACACAGAGAATGACAAACTTCATAATAATGTAACTTTTATTTATTTAAAATCTAAGCAAATAAAAGTCCCTTAGACAGCAAGGGGATCAAACCAGTTAATCCTAAAGGAAATCAACCCTGAATATTCATTGGAAGGACTGATGCTGGAGCTGAAGCTCCAATACTTTGACCACCTGATGCAAAGAGCTGACTCATTGGAAAAGACCATGATGCTGGGAAAGACTGAGGACAGGAGGAGAAGGGGGTGACAGAAGATGAGATGGTTGGATGGCATCACTGACTCAGTGGGCCTGAGTTTGGGTGAACTCCAAGAGATAGTAAAGGACTGGGAACCCTGGCGTGCTTCAGTCCAAGTCCGTGGGGTCACAGAGAGTTGGACATGACTGAGCAACTGAACAACAAAGAAAATAAAGCTCAGCTGGCTGAAATTTCTTTAGCACGTGCTCTGTTTTTTCATAGAAAAGATAATGACAAATGTACTAATTTTAGAGATTTACTAATGAAACATAACAATATTTTGAAATTCAACCCAGTTCTCTTCATCTACTATAACAAAAATAGTATGAAATGATAAATGGTTTTCAATTAGCTAGAATATACCCATTAATGCTAAGTAGGAGTTACACCAGCTGCTCTGAAAGAGAAATCCGTACAAGATCTCAATTCCCTTCAAGATAATGCACATACTTTTATCTGTACTTCACCAACATCCTTAAATCGCTGTAGGGTGGAAATCAGAATTTTCGCCAGCAGATACCCAGTTACCGTGCATAAATTCTTCTTTGTAATCAAACATCCTATAAGACTTAAACCCAGACACTGAATTTCTAGAAAAATAAAAGAAAAAAAATAATAAAATGCACTGTTTTAAATCTCAAAAACTGAAGAAAAAATTTAAGCATGTCCAACTAATAGCTAAAGGCCTATAAAAATCTAAATCCTGACTTCAGTTGTACCAACCTTGGTCATCTGGATACATCTGCAGTGTATGAAGCACCGAATCAATAGCACCTTCCAGGGATAACACCTCTAGTGCATCAGGAAAATGTGTTATAGACGAAATTACTTTTAATCCACACTTCTGAATCCCAGGACTTCCAATGAACTAAAAGTCAAAAGGATAATTAAGAATATTTGCTGTGTTATGCTCAACATCACTCATTATCAGAGAAATGCAAATCAAAACCACAATGAGGTACCATTACACGCCAGTCAGGATGGCTGCTATCCAAAAGTCTACAAGCAATAAATGCTGGAGAGGGTGTGGAGAAAAGGGAACCCTCTTACACTGTTGGTGGGAATGCAAATTAGTACAGCCACTATGGNAAGTAATCAGCCTCCAACTAATAAAAAATAATATAAATAAATAAATAATTAAAAAAAGAATATTTGTTGTGTTAAAAAATGAATTCTAATACTTACCTTAGTTAAAGCCAGCTTATAGGCTGATGAAACATAAACTAAGGAGTCCAAATAAAATTACCATTTTTGACTCTGCCTCATATCGCTAATTACTTTTATTTATTATTAAGAATAAGAGCTAACATTTTTGCACTTATTAAGTACCTCTTCTTTGCCAGGCACTGTACTAAGTAATTTCACATGCTTTTCTTTTCAGAGCATCCTTATTAAATATATACTAATCTGATTCCCATTAAAAGATGAGTTCATTGAATGTAGATTGTACACTGCTGAGAAGATACCAAGTCAAAGACATTTGCTATCACAGCCTAAACTCTTAACCATAAATATGCAATGCTGTCCCTCATCATAGAAAATACTAACTGAGAATTTACTCTTTATATGTTTGCATGTTATAGCTCATTTATTCCCCGTCAAGTTTTGTACAATAGGTTCGCCAACTTTAAAGATGCAGGAAAAAGAACTCAAGTCACATAGCTAACAATTGTCAGGACTAGAACTTCCCTGGTGGCTCAGATGGTAAAGAATCTACTTGCAATGCAAGAAACCTGGGTTCACTCCCTGGGTCAGGAAGATTCCCTGGAGGAGGGCATGGCAATCCACTCCAGTATTATTGCCTGGAGAATCCCATGGACAGAGGAGCTTGACGGGCTACAGTCCATGTGGTCACAAAGAGCTGGACACGACTGAGCAACAAAGCATAGCACAGTCAGGACTAGTGCTTTAATAAAAATGCTTCTGCCTTAAAAGTCAAGAATCTTAATCTCTTCCAACCTTTTAAATTCAATTCTTCCAGAATTTGACATTATTTGACAGGTATTCTAATAGAAGCCACTACTTTGCCAAGGCCATCCTTCTCACTGACTAACAAGAAAACAATCAACAACACACCTTCCAATCATGTGACAATCACAATCACATCTCCCCTCTTTCAATGTCTGTGACATTTACCTCTTACACTTTGCTTTTCCATGGTGCTCTTAATGATGTTCTAGGTAGTCCCTCACCTAGAGCCAGACATCCTGGATTGTGAAGTCAAGTGGGCCTTAGGAAGCATTACTACAAGCAAAGCTAGTGGAAGTGATGGAATTCCAGCTGAGAGATTCAAAATCCTAAAAGATGATGCTTTTAAAGTGCTAAACTCAATATGACAGCAAATCTGGAAAACTCATCAGTGGCCATGGGACTGGAAAAGGTCAGATTCCAACCCCAAAGATGGGCAATGCCAAAGAATGTTTAAACTACTGTACAATTGCACTCATTTCATATGCTAGCAAGGTTATGCTCAAAATCCTTCAAGCTAGGTTTCGGCAGTATGTGAACCAAGAACTTCCAGATGTACAAGCTTGGCTTCAAAGAGACAGAGGAACCAGAGATCAAATTGCCAACATTTGCTGGATCTTGGTGAAAGCAAGAGAATTCCAGAAAAACATCTACTTCAGCTTCACTGACTATGGTAAAGCCTTTGACTGTTGTGGATCACAACAAATTGTGGAAAATTCTTAAAGAGGTGGAAAACCAGACCACCTTACCTGTCTCCTGAGAAATCTATATGTGGGTCAAGCAGTAACAGCTAGAACCCAGACATGGAACAACTGACTTGTTCAAAATTGGGAAAAGGTAAGACAAGGCTGTGTGCTGTCACTCTGTTTATTTAACTTCTATGCAGAGTACATTATGTGAGATGTCAGGCTGGGTGAATCTCAAGCTGGAATCAAGATTGTCAGCAGAAATATCAACAGCCTCGGATATGCAGATGATACCACTCTAATGGCAGAAAGTGAAGAGGAACTAAAAGCTTCTTGACAAGGATAAAATTGGAGAGTGAAAAAGCTGGATTGAAACTCAACATTCAAAAAACTAAGATAATGGCATCTGGTCCCATTCAGTTCAGTTCAGTTCAGTTGCTCAGTCATGTCCGACTCTTTGCAACCCCATGGCAAATAGAAAAGGAAAAAGTGAAAGCAGAGATAGATTTTATTTTCTTGGATCCAAAATCACTGTGGACCATGACTGCAGTCAGGAAATTAAAAGACACTTGCTCCTTGGAAGGAAACCTATGACAAACCTCTTCAGTTTATTAAAAAGCAGAGACATCATATCACTAACAAAGGTCCATATATTCAAACCTATAATTTTTCCAGTAGTCAGGTATGGATGTGAGACTTGGATCATAAAGAAGGCTCAGCATTGTAGAATTGATGTTTCTAACTGTGGTGCTGGAGAAGATTCTTGAGAGTCCCTTGGACAGCAAGGAGACCAAAGCAGTCAATTCCCAAAGGAAATCAACCCTGAATATTCATTAGAAAGACAGATGCTAAAGCTGAAGCTCCAATCCTTTGGCCACCTGATGTGAAGAACCGACTCACTGGAAAAGACCCTGATGCTGGGAAAGATAGACAGCAGGAGGAGAAGGAGGTGACAGGATGTGATGGTTGTATAGCATCACCGACTCAATGGACATGAATTTGAGCAAACTTCAGGAGATAGTGAAGGACAGAGAACTCTTCTGTCCACTGGGTCAGAAAGAGTCAGAAATGACTTAGCCACTAGATAACACCTTCACTATAGAGCTGAAACAGCTTCCAGTCAGACCTCAAATTCTGATGTAGCCTCTTCAACAAAAACCTACTGCCTTCCAACCTGTTTCACCTCCCCCTATTGTCACTGAACAGATTTTCATTTATTTCCCAGTCTTGTCCCTCAATACCTCTCATGTGTTTTTTATTTGCATCTTTCTTCATATAGATTATGGACAGAAGCATCATTTTCTCATCCTGTGTCATCCTCCTCCACCACTGAACTGCTCAGTTCAGATACCATTTCATTTTTCATTTCAGTAAGACACTCATATTCTTGTCTCCTTTGGCAATTTTCCCCACCATTATTTCCATTTTACCAATTCCTTGAGTAGTAAAAGTATATCAGGTTGGAGTCAATCAAATTTGGGCTTGAACTGTCTCATCACTTAAAGAGTTCCATGAATCTCTGGGCCATTAAAAATGACTGAAATAACATTTACTGAGAAGTGGTATTTAGTCAGAAGGTATTATTCAAAAATATAAAGAAATTCAAAGTGGTGCAGAGTGAAGCTGAAGGGATGGCTCAAAGTTTGTCTGGTTTTCTTCACCTCGAAAATGATTCTAATAATGCAGTATTGTTATGAGGGTGAAATGAGATAAACCATCATCCATGCAATGAACACCGAGTGACGGCATAATTCAGGCCTTGGGATGAACGAACACTCTTCTCAGAAGTGAAAGACTTCTCACTGGGAGAGAATATCCCTAAATTGATCTTTCCTTCTATCAAGCTACCACTCCTCTTTCATTTCTAAACTTATTAATAGAAAAGTCTACACCCACTACCTCTACATTCTTCCCACCTCTTAATTTCATATAATCAGGCTTCTGTCCTAACCACTCCAAATTAAAACCATTCAATGAAAAAAGTTCTTTAACAACTCAATTGCTACTCTTTCCTCCCTTGATTTCCTTGACACAGTAATCTCCCTAATTATTCTCAAGCTTAAAACTATTCATTTATCCATCTCGTTCACAATCACTTCTTTCAACTTCAAACTTTGTCCAAAGAGCTCTTCTTAAAACTCTTCTATTCATGGATGGAATTTCATATACTATCACGGCTTCAAGTCACCATAACAACACTGGCAACAACCACGAGGATAACCAAAACCTAAGGAGCGCTTGCTATGTGCCAGACATTCTTTTAAGCACTTCATATGTATTAACTCATTTAATCTTCGCACTCACCCTATGATGCGGACACACAATTATTATCCCTGTGTTATTGGTGAAAAAAAATTGAGATACAGAAACCTTTGAGTAGATAACTCAAAGCATAAGCTTAAACTCTCTTAAGTTCGAAGTCCATATTTCTCTTTGTTTGACACTAGTATCTTAAACTTAGATGTTCAAAGCTAAAAGTTTATTACCTTCTCAAAGAAAACCAAGAGAACTCAGAGTGCCATTTTGAACTTTGTTTTATACCACCATTTCTGCCTCCTCGGGAGGTCAGCCTGAGGAGTACGCATGAGCAACAACACAGATCCCTGTGCTCAGAAGGGCCCCAGACCTGGTTTAATACCCTGCAGCCACCACCTTAAAATTCTTCATAATTTTAAACAGAAGGTCCTGCATTTTCATCTTGTACTGGGTTATATAGCTGGTCCTGCTCTTAAGCTCAGAATGCACCCACAGGCTTATTTTTATGCAAAAATTAAGTACCTGATGGCTCAGACAGTAAAGAATCAGCCTGCAGTGTGAGAGACCCCGGTTCCAGCCCAGGGTTGGGAAGATCCCCTGGAGAAGGAAATGGCAACCTACTCCAGAATTCTTGCATAGAAATCCCACGGACAGAGGAGCCTGGTGGGCTACAGTCCATGAGGTGGCAAAGAGTCGGACACGACTGAGCAAACAACACTTTCACTTTCACTTATATTTATAAAGTGCCTGTTCTTGCCCTTAATACCATCACCTCTAACAAGTTGTTACTCAACTATTGTTTCTGCTCTCTTGAGCTTCCCTAATCCTCTATTTCAGGTGCAGTTTGATGGTGCACCTGATTACTAGCAACAGGAAATCCATGATTTGTCTATGTAGAAAGGGAATGCAGAGTATCACATTATTATATGTGATGGAGTTCAAATAAACTATTTGATGA